GAGCCACATAATCTGCGATGTTTGCCCCACAACTCACCCCAAGTAGAACACATCTGTTTCAACAATATCACAATTAAGATAAGGTAAAACGGCAATGTAAAACTTTTACGCACAATAGAAGATAAGGATCCATAAATTAGACAAAAAGTACTAAGAAGCAGCAATCTTCCAGCTTAACAATAAAACATAATTTGCCAAAATTTATCTCATCCAAACATCAGCATGAGTTTCAACTTGGGCTCCTTCATATAGATTCTTCCTTGACCTCAATTGTACCTCACTCAAACTGAGATTTCCAGGTTGACTCAATATTCTTCGCATGCTTTGATTCAACAAGACCACTATATACTCAACTAACACCAGAGATTATGATCCAGAAGTTTTATAGATCATACTAAAGACATAACAGAAAACACAACACAACCAACAAGATAAACTCAAACTCTTGACCATATACTCTATCAAACACCTTTGAACATAACATGTGGAACAAAAGTTGCTGTATGATACTACATACATTAGAAAACATTGGGCATAAGTTGCTAAACAACAAGCATTAAAATCATTTTCAAGCCAGCTTAGGTATATGAATCTGCTCACAATTCAAAAAGTCACAATGCATGAAAAGTATGAGAGGATAAAAGGAAAAACATGAAAGTCAAGGAGACATCATAACTACTAATGACAGATGTCCACAGGACAGGCAATTCAGCAATCAGCACCCAACCTAGTGGAAGAAATAAATCCAGACAAAATCTAATAGTTGATTCTTAAAGTATACATTCTCTTTCTGATACTATGGTTAAACCAATAGCACTAAGGACACCCCTCAGACAAAATACAGCAAGAAAATAAGCCAACCTGCTGCAAGGGAACATAGAAACATCTTATTTATCCTCAACAGAATAGAAAATGATGAACGCATCCTTTTCATGCATTATCAAATATTTTAAGTTTGGCTAAACTAATGTAAAATTAGCTTAATAAACACCTTCAAAAAAAATTCATTACTTTCATTTAAAAAGCAATCTTCAGGGGCAAAAATAGTTTTAATTTTGACCGTCTAAGAGGTCATTAAGGGACCCCCAATGCCACAAATGTCAATCAAAACTAACAAAACAAGTAGGCAAATTCTAGAACCAAGGGCCAGCATGAACTAAATGTCTATGTCATGGACATCTACGGCAATCAAATGTGAAACAGAAATATAAAGAAGAGAAGTGCTTGATACCACATACACTCAAAACTCCATACAGAAAACACAAACAAGATTGAAAATTGAACTGTATTCAACGAAGAGGAGGTGGTTGTGCACAAAAGACAAAAGACTATAGCTTTCCAGGAATTTTCAGATTGAGAGATTGAATCCTATATTAGAATACAGAAGGACCACTTCCAAAGCCTCTACCACCAGAAAGAGAACTTAGATTTGACAGACTTTGGATGATGAAGACTTATTGCACAGTTAAACAATTCAGATCAGAGCATGATCACAAGTTGTCCACACTAATTTACTTTCAAAAGTTTCATAACCAAAACCTCATTCACAAGTTGCTATTCTAGCAATATCTATCTAATTAAATCGTGCAAATTCAAGCTCACAAGCAACATTGCCCTAATCAAGATGCACTACCTAATTGCCAACCATCTCAACCAAATAAAAACAGAGGCAAGGAATGCATATCAAATTTACACCCAATCAATTGTAAGAAATATAAAACCATTGAAGAATAAAATTTTTACCTACTTTGCATCTACTGAAACTGATGAATTTAAGCTTAAAAAGTCAAACTTTCCTGATCAATTTGCAGTTCCTAACCCCTAGCGTAAACCTAATCAATCAATTAACCCTACTACAACCAATGCTCATCCACATTTCCAGTCAAAAGCACATAAATCACAATAAATCTAACAATAAGAACAAACACAATCAGAGATCATGACATCTCATTCATGCCAGGATCAAATTACACTTCCTAACTAACTCCTACCCTTTAAACCAAATCAATCAATAACAAAAACAAATATAACCAAGATCAAAACTTTATATAGGAAGAAAGGAATAGCAACCTTGACGGATCTCCATGAGCCGCCAACCACGGCTCAACCATAGAAGCCCCAAACGCATCCACAATATGTCTCTGAACTTCAGCCTTCTTAAACTCAGCTCCAACCCCACGCGCCCCACTCCCCATCGACTTACTACACTCCGCTAAATTCGCCTGCTTCCCTAACCAATTCAACACCTTCAATCCATCCTCGAATGCCGCCGGATACCTATTCTCCGGCGCCAACCTATAACCAACCGCCACGACTATAACATCACACAATTTCGCTATCCTCCGACAGAAAAAGTCGTTAGCAACCGAATCATTGCTCCCACTCACCCAACCACCGCCGTGAAACTGTAACATTATCGGTAATTTTCGACAGTTTTGAGGTAATGGTGAATAGCCTCGATAAACATTATTGTCAGATCTTAAATTTAACCCTTCAAAACTGCTTCTTCTTGGATCATTTCTAGGAGCTCCGATATTAGGCGGGCCATAACTATTTCTTCGGTGATTAAGGGAATCTGGGTCGTCTTGTTGGGACGATGTGGGCTTGGATTTCGCCTCGGGTTGTTCAGGAGGGGAAAGGGACGATTCGGGGAGGAAGATCCGAATAGTAAGGGAAGTGAAAGGGTCGATGTGGATGTCTTTGGTGGCGACGCCGTCGGTGAAACAAGGGTTGGCGGCGGAAACGGATTCCTCGGGCCTGGTCGTAACGCCGTATGGATTGGAGGATTCGTCGAGAGGTGTTTGGATCCGGTTCTGCAAACGGTGCTTCAAGAGGAACTTGAAGAATACACTGTATAATTTTACAGCTACGCTTGGCATTTCCCTTTTCTTTTCTTTTTTTTATCTTTTTCTGTTGGAAAAAAAAAACGAATTCTGGGTTTTGATTTCTCTAGGTTTTTCTTGATGGGTTTGCAGAGACCGGAGATTAAGATGAAGTTTCTTCCTTTTTTTTCTCTCTCCTTTCAATTCTGAGCCTCGGTTTTTTCTTTTGTTGGGTTTTTTAAGGTTGAAGTAAATTCATGGTTTTGAATGGGGGAAAACTCGAAAGATCTAATTTTGATTCAAAATTTCACATGGGAATTGGGTGATTAGGGCTTTCAAAATCTGGGGAAGTTTTGCTTGAAATCTGGTGTTGATCCTTCAATGGCCAATTAGATAGAAGAATAGCAAAGACAGAGAAAGAAAGAAAGACACACAAGGAAAGGGCAGAAGGGGCCCTTAGGTGGGATGATGTGGTTACATGCAACCACAGCCAGCAGCAACTTTATTAAGCTGTTTTGCCCTTTTCCTTTTTTATTTATTTTTTGAGACAGGGTCTTATACTCTAAGATGATTTCAGTGAAATCATGGGGCCAAGTTGTACCTTGAGGACAAAATTACCCTTAGAAGTGGGAGGTACAAGCATTGGAAGGATGGATTTGGAAAGTAATGTATGGATTTGGGGTGTGGCAAATAATTGCCAAGATGATAAGTGTTATTGGGAAGTGTTATTATTTTAAGTTGCATAATTGTGTTAAATGAGTAGGACTCTTAGGAGGAAAAGTAATTAAACTCCAATTCCTTCATCATTGGGCAGCAGGCTTAATTGAAAAGGTTTATGTTTGACTCATTCTGGGTATTTATAGATTTTTTATATTATAAAATAATATAAAAAGAAAATTTTTAATTTTTACAAAATAAATATTTTAAATATTTTAATTTATTTATTTATTAATAATATGATCATATTTAATTAATTAATTACTTATATGAAATCTTATTAGTCCATTTGATATCATAACCAGTATAAGCAGCAAATTTATGTGCTAGTTAAGGTTCTAATATTTCAAAAAGAAAAACAAAGACCCTTTTGAAATGTTTGGATTGACATCAACTATTCAACTTGAGGACAGTCCAAGAATCAATGACTAGTTCAAATTTGGAGTTATTGAAACCCAGTAAAGAAGAGAAAAATGCTTTAAAATAAACACAAGATACCTAAACCATTAGCCAAAACTTCAGTAGGTGGTTTCCCAAAAACATTCTGATTCAAAATGTTCATAAGCAAAGCCATCAGAGTGCTTTCAGAATGCTGCAAATACAATATCTATAATAACTTTTCAAACTTAATCTACTGATTTCAAAATCATTCACATCTGATATGAGATGAGATATCCCGACGACTACAAGTAATTCAACAATATACTAACAACAGTTGTCCAAATAAAAGAAAGAGATAGAATTGGAATTCATGCTTTCTTGCCACCCTTAAAAGATTATGAATGGAAAAAGATGTCTACTTTACAAGCCAAACTCATTTTGTCCTTTTGTTTTCTTTGTCCCCAATCCATTATATACAGGCACATATGAGCAAAAGGGGCTCAGATTTACCCCACATAAGCAGCAATCTTGAGGAACCTGCGTGACATCAAAATCTAGCAAACCAAATGTTCAGAAGGTGAACAGTTGATACAAATAATAAAAACTCAGCTTCATCATCGTGCTTCTCAAAATCACCATGTCCACCAACCTATGTGGTTTGCATACAGATCTTGAAATGAAATCCATCACCAACTACAATGGCAATCCCTTGTCCTAGCCTGATGGCTTCCGAGTAGTTATTTTTGGGGAGACGAGCACAGGTTCATTGCTTGCAGCTTTCATTGCAGCAATCTCTTCTAATCGTTTCCATGTGGCTTCACGTTTTGATTTAACCTCATTTTCTCGTGCTTCGTCTTCCTGAAACTTTTGCAAGCACTCCTCGAAGAGCTCAGGGTCAGAGTCGGAGAAAATCTTGCGGACGTTTAGAGTCAAGCTCTGAACTGCCTGGTTCCAGTGGTTTCTTGCATTCTTTTCCAAGGAAGGGAAGATAATTGGAAGTATAACTTTCCGATTCTGTTTTATTAGATTCTCAATGTGATCATTGTTCCATAAGAACAAAGCCCTCTCTGCCACCTATAAACAAAGTATCGTAGTTTTTAAAGAGAGAGAAAGTAAGACTGCAAGAAAATAAGCACATCATCTTTAATCATTGAAAATGCTATCTCTGCACATTAATGTAAGTGTGTATATTCATTGCTAGCATAACTGACTCAATGCAATGTCAGCTCATGACTACAACTATTATTAAGAAATTTTAAACTAGCAACAACATCTAGATAGATAGTAAAGCTTTTATTTATGTAAAAACTGACCACCATGGAGATATCCTCCCAATAGCTATAAACAAACTGAAACGGAAATCCGTCCTCTTGCCAGCGGATGTGGGGCAAACCAACTAAATTAAAGAGGCTATCAATCAATTCTACTGATTTTTATTTGCATGCTAATACTCTACAAGCAAATTTCCTAAACATAAATGAATTTGTAGCCCTTGGTATCTGCAAGTAATGTGATGCAGAGATTTCCTAATAGGGAACACCTCTTTATCACAAACCCTATGACATCTTTTAACAACTGCATGTTAATACCATATGATAAATTTGCAAAGAGAGTCCATTTCATCAAACACAAATCATTACATCAATCCAGATTCTTAGTTATTTGTGATAATCTCAGTTGCATCACTTACAATGACGTCCTAAATAGAGAATGATGACACAATATTAACCATTTAGGCAATCAAATCTAGTGGGAAAAGGCATGGTTTGTTTTCATTATTGTCACTGCAGCAATCTAATTATTTCAATTACAACTTTATGAAGATTTATCTCTTTCTCTAAGAGTGATCTTTTCTTTTTTGAAAGGTCTTGTTATTACATCCTTCAGTTAGTCAACATTAACAGGACACAGCTTCGTCATAACATGTCAGTTGTTAAACAACTGATACTATTTCATTCCTTTTAGTCGGTTAATATTAAGTGGAATTGGGGACCTGTCTTTTTCTTCGTGTCCAAATACATCCAAATTCCATTGATTAAATGTTGGTCTGAGCATCTAAGTTTCAAGTTATCTGCTTAACCCAACTACACATTTCTATCTCTCCTCTCTTTATGCACAGAATGAAATAGTTGAAGAAGATTAAGCAATGCATATCGATGAAGTTCCAACCTCAAAATTGGATGTAGACTTTCCGAGGCAGAGTCCAGACAGGTAATCACCAGTTTGAAAGTCAAGAAATATAATCCAATGAGATGAAGAGTCTACATTTATATGGTTAAAAGCAGTCAACGATTACAGTCTATCATAATGCATCAGTTTCTCTTAGAACTCTCAAAGTAGAGTAGATCACAACTGATTTTCTTGGGTCTGATACTGCAACATTTAATCTCACTAATATGTTTTTACATAACCACCTTAAGCCCACCTCAGGTTACTCTTTTAGATATTCAGAACCAACGATAGTATTGTACATCAGAAATGCAAGATTTTACCATGCTACTGCAAAAAGGGAGAATCAAAATAAAGAAAAAACAGGGCAAGCAAGAAAAAAAATTCATGTCAACTTGTGGCTCTTGATTAATTTTAACAAAGACAATTCAACTAAACCATCAAAGCTTTCTCTTGTTTATTCAATTTGATAAAGAAAGTCATGTCAACTGGTTGTTCTTGCTTTTAATAAAGCCACTTCATCTAAACCATTAAAGCTTTCTCTCTATTTTTAAAATTACTTCACTAGTTTTCTTTTGTTAAGGGACCGTCTTAAAAAATAGAAAGAGAGGAAAGTTGCAAGTAGTGAACTAACGAAATCCCTACCTGAAAATGCGAACTACTCAAGCAACGGCCTATCTGACGGAACAAGGGTACCATGCAGCGTTGAAACTCAGGAGGTTGTGTGGCTTCTAAAACTTCCTCCAGTTCACCCAAGAACATGACTTCTTTTGAGCTATTTGTAATCGGCCAATACTTTAGCAAGCCTCGTATAACAGTATCAGCAAGCTTGCAGTCCTTCTCCACAAATTGAGTGATGCAGTAAGATAGCTGCTGGTGGTACATAGGTATGCACTTTGGTTTGTGAAGCGGTATCAATGCACGAACAAGAAAGAGCTTATGTTCTTCCTTCAGTGGCAAAGCAAACCCATTGATTATACTTCCCAAAATTTCTAATAGTTCTGCAATTCCATTGTGTTTTTCAGTTTCAAAAATAAAGCGGTAAAAGATGTTGTTGATTGCTTTCCTGATGAATGGACGATGGACCATAAATTTTCCATATATGCGATGCAGAACAGTTTTCAGATACTCCCTTTCTCTGGGGTCCTCTGAATCAAAAAGATCTAACAGCCTTAGAACAAAAGAGTGATCAATATACCGCTTGGCCAATTTTGCATCTGTCTCAGGTGATGCCACAAGCCTCAAGAGAAATTCATAAACTACTTGCAAATGAGGCCAGGCAGGGTCCATTGAGGGTTCCTCCTCTTCCAAATCAAATGCTTCTAAAACTTTGTTCTCACGGGGTGGAGAAGTAAGTGCTCTAAACAAATTGACAGACACCATCTTTACAATTTCTTGCATAACAATCTCCGAAAATTTCCCACTGGCAGATGAAACATAATCCACAAGCTCTAGTAAGGTTTGCCGCTTGATATCCTTCTCTTTGAAGTTTTTGGTTGGGTCAGTGAAGTCAAACACAATGCAACACAAGTTCAGTTTTCTGATGAACAAGTTCTGCTTCTCAGAATTTGGAACATCTCTAAAACTGGGCAATGCCTCAAAAGAAGCAAACATATTCCCATTCAGCTTTGCATTCACCACTTGAGAAATCTTATTGCCTGGATTCAGCCCTAAATTTGGAGTAGAATTAAATCCAGAAAAGGCTGCACCACTTGCGTTTGCATATCGGTTACTAGCTAGATCGCTGTTTCTTGAACTGGTAGAAGCATTTGATGAAGAGGTAGAGGTTCCTCCTCCTCCCTCACGATTGTCACTGGACTTAGATGGTTTCCGTGGGAGCCTATTAAGTATTTGTTTGATCATTGTAACTTAGATGGAGAATCTGTTTTCAAGCAATTAACAACAACCGGATATAAAAAGAAAGCCCTTCAAAGCAAATGCACCATCAAGGAAGTTGAAAAGAGATATCAGCCCAGCAAGGAAAACCTAGTTGCACGAAACTGTCAACTCATAAATCGAAAGCCACTGATAAGGCCAACCCACAAATAAATGTGCAACTCCATCCTCAAGAAGATGAGTTATTACTCAATTCCAACAGAGAAAATTCCTTGTTTACTTGAACAGCAACATCAAACCGACTTCATATGTTGAAAAAATCTAAAACACAGAAGACAAAATCCAAGCTAGAGTCCATCAATCAACTTATAACAAAAACCCCCAATTATGTATAGCTAACCTTAATAAACTTCATCTTCTTTTCCCCTTTTGAGTGGCAAAGCATGCATTATTTTTTGAGTTGTATCAAAAAAGAAAAAACCCCATATGCCTAAACCAATCCAAAAATAAACAAAAATACCCAATTATTACCACCAACCAAACCATAAAATTCAGCTCCAAAAGATTTGATTTTCTTGCTAAATTACTCAAAAAAGGAAAGGGATAAGGAATATTCACCTTTTGTCTCCTTGGCTCTAATTTTCTTCAGCTTCCAAAGATTAACAAAAGCATTCTACCAGATCAAAAGGTAGCAAGATCTGGGTTTGATCTTAAGAACCCAACCAGCATTTTCCACCAAAAGCAACCCTACAAAATTATCCAAAAGGGACATAAGCCAAAGGAAAAAACAAAACTTGTAACTGACATTAAGAAAGAAATAGAGGTTTGGTCCAAAACCAAGAAAACAAGTGAAATCTATCACTTACAAAAGAGATAGTTGGGCTACTCCATTTTCTCTCAAAGGAGACACAGAGAGAGAGAGTTAGAATCTACAGAAATATAATGGATTTAGGAAAGAACATCATCATGAATCAACCTTTGGTTGTTGTTGATGTTTTGTTTTTCTTTAAGTAAATAATTGTTGTAATAAATCACACTTCGCCTCTATAATTTTTTTCTCCCTTTTTCTTTGTAAAGATTTGATCTTTTCTAAACTTTCTCAGCAAAATTTCATTTCAACCTCAAAGCTCAGACTTTTTCACTTTTGATTTTCTCCAGATGAAGATGGAATCCAATTGACCAAATCACCCCTCGACCTTTTCCAAAAACCTTCCTTTTTATGCCTTCAGAGAGAATGAGGAGCAGCTTAAAATGGGAAAACCATCAACAGCTTCCTTGAGGTGGTGACTCTCACGCACCCACTTGAATGCGAGTGGGATTTTTCAATACTTGACAGCTCCATGTCACAGCCTGTTGTCATCCCAAAGCTCCATAGATTACATCTCAACATCCCCGCGTTGTCACAGTTTCCCGTTATGGTCGGCCATACGATCCCACGCGCTTCATTGGAGCGTGAAGTAAAACAATACTGGTTGAACTTTGAACCTTAAAAGGAAATTTTTTTTTCCTTGGATTTCAAGTCTTTTTTTTTTGTTAATTATTTATCTTTATGAGCTGTTAAAATCATTTGAAGCTTGCATTTTAATCATATGCTTCGTTCCTGTTTGTTTTATGAGAAGTTTTTCAATGTTATCTCATCACCTTCCATTTCAATACAAAGAAATTCTTTATTCCTTTTTCATTAACCAAAAAAAAATTTACGAAGATATTGGTTAATTAAATCAGTAAATGTTTTTGACTTATACCAAATATTTGTAATCGGATTGAACATAATTATAACAGTTTTATATTATTATAATATTTATATTATGATTTAAATATTAAAAACAATTTATATCATAACTTTCATTGATTACATTGAACTGAGTTATTAAATTTTATGTTAAATCCAAATGAGCTCTTAATCTTAATAAAAATTTAATTACCATTAAATCAATACCAGTCCTAACTTTTTTTTTAGCCATGTCACATATTGTTTAAATCAAATAACAACTAATGTGAATCGAAATCACTATATTAACTTATCAAGTTACATGTCATATGAATAAAAAAATTAAATCAATTGACATTGAATTGAAGATGATTAAATTTTCATTAAAATTAAAAATTCATTTAAATTTAAATCAAAATTTAAAAATTTATTTAAACGGAATAAAAAGTGAAATGTTGAATTGAATAAATACCTCAGAAGATTTATTATTCTTACGCCCATAATTATCAATTCTATATATATATATATATATATATATACATTTATGGCATTGTTGGTAAAGGCAACGAACCATTTTTGTTGCCAAATGACCCCAGTAATTGAAGACATTTAGGTGAGGTTAGAATGAAATGATTATTGTGATGGCGTCCTTGCAACTTATATGACTTAATAATTCCTTTCTATCTTTTAATCCGTTCTCTATTTTCGGTTTTCAAAGCCACATCCAAGAAGAAGAATAGACTACACTGATCAAGTTAATCCTCCTTTTGACTTCTTTAAGATTTCTTCTTTCTTTTAATATAATACTTTTAAAAAAATTTTAAAAAATTAAAATAAATCTTTATTTTTTATTATCTTCAATCACATTCTTATATCTTTATTTTTTCCTAAATAAACTTTTATAATTAAAAATTAACTAACTATTATAAATCAAAATATCATTTACCATTTTATATACACATAATATTAAGATTAACTAACATAAAAAATAAAAAATATCATATAATTATGTTATCAGATTATATTCATATATCACGTTATAACATGTCAAACTATCACGTCGTCACCGTATAACATAAAAATGACAAATAATATTATAATAATAACAATTAAAATTAAAAAATTAAATTATATTTTCTTCCGACCTCTTTAGAAATTATACAATTTGATATAACTTCTAAATAATTCACCTGTGAAATCCAATGAGTACGAAGTTGGTGAAGGATCACAATCCAAATCACTCATTACACGTCGGACCTGGTGACCAAAATGGGAAGTCCACATCTTCAAGCACAGCACAGAAGAAAAGGTCAAACATATATCAAATCTGAAACCGAAAGGGATCAATGCTAAGGTTATGTACACCATTTTACAAATTCACAGTCATAGTAATCTAAACAATACAGAGTCAATAAACCTGATTGGCAGGCAACAAACGTCACCTGTCATTTTGTGCATGAATGAAAGTGTCCAACATGTACAGAAAAATAAGATCTAATGAGTAAAAATAAGTTAACGTCTCTCTTTTATCTTCATATTGTGACCCAAAAAGCAAGAGGCTTCAAAGAGGGATCTTACCAAAGTGCTCATACCGAAGAACTCCTCAACATTCCTTATACAAAATATGAACAATAATCAAATTTAATGTAAGATAGTACTGAATTAATCAGTGTGGGCAAAATCAAAACTTTTCTTAAAATTGTGTTAGTTACAAAGGAAAAATAATACCAAGAAGTCTTTAAGATATCAGTGGGGGCAGCTGCCCCCATTGTGCATCCATCTCTGGAAGTACATACAAGCATCGTGTCATACAACAAATCAATGTGAGAGTGCTGCACATCCCAACCAAGGATCAAAATACAAAACCATCTGAACAGAATCGTCCAAACTCCAGTCTCAATGCTCCATCAAGGCAGTTTCGGTTTCTGAAAGGGGAGCTGCACAAACAAACCTCCAAATCAAAAATGAATCCCAACAAAGAGGTAGAAATCGAAACAGAAAAGAACTCGGCTCAAAAGTCAAAACCATAGCAAATTCCCACTTGCAACACTAGAGTTTTACATTTATTTGGTAGATGCGATAATTAATGGATTAAAAAGAAAACCAAAACAGGAATTTAAAAAATCCTATTTACAAGCTTATAGCACGGCATCCACATGGATGTGTTTTAACAGTAATAGTTTGCAAGTAAACCAACATACCCAGCAAATCCTCATAAGAATCAGCTAACAGGGATGTGTCCATCAGCAAAGGAGGGGAGAAGACCTGATCCTGAGCTTCTTCCATGTCAAAAAATGACCTTTGCCCATCCGAAGCGGTACAACTTGAAGCAGCAGCTGAGAGAAATCCATTTACTTGATCAAAATCATTAAGGGAATCCAGATTGTTCAGCATGTGTGGCAAGTCATCATAGTTACTCCCAATATGACCATTGCCACCATGGCTGTCAAGCAAGGAATTGTCTGTTTGAGTTGAAAACAATCTCTTAGTCCTTATCGAGCTCACTTTACTTTCTGGCCCCCCACGAGAAAACTTTGTTGATGATACAGGTACAAAGAAGTGTTCAGAACTTTCATCAGATTGACTGTCTCGTGATGACTCTGAATTGCAGGATGGCATTGACAGTGCAGCTTGCCTCACAGATCTCTTTAAGTTCTGAACATAAGAATTGTCACTATCTGCAACATGAATTGAGAATCAAAACCTTCCACTAAAGGAGTTAAATCACCGATTCTCTTTCAAATGATAAAAGGAAATGCATTGAGCCAGCCACCAGAGCTTATTTATACGGAGGGAGACAAGTGGGAGCATGAAAGCAGCAAACCTTGGGGTGGGCTATCTAGGCGATTGTTTGGTAGAGGCTGGTCTACAGAGTTCCTTTCGGACAAAATTTCCGTTTGGTTGGTCTGAGGAGCTAAAGTATGTCGCTTTTGCATGTTTCCACCTTTTCCAGATGAATTTGGGGTTAAACTAAATAACTGAGGGAGCTTTAAAGCAGGAGGACTAGCTGAAACCTTGTCTAGCTGAACAGTAGACATTTTGGAAGTAATGTCACTGACATCATCAGAGCTACTTTCCTGCATAATCCAGAAAATTATTTTAAAAATGAGTCATGAGTTCTACAAACACAAATATTCCAAGTTTTCAAAATAGTTTCAATGTTTGCATGACACGATTTACTCATTGAACAATTACCAAGGTCCTTCCACTGCTCTGAGCTTGAATAGGTGAGCTGGCTTGACCACGATGCTTGCCCATAGATGGCAAGTTGGAGGAAACACAATTCACTTTCTCTGTACACTCTGATATTGACTTCTGAATTGCTGGAGCAACTTCCTTTAATTGGTTAATAAGCACCTGCATTTTAAATGCACTATAAATTTAGAACAGAAATTTCTACAACATTTCATCTAGAAAGTATGTAAGAATAGTATCTCAAGTCAACAAGGAGGTGCCAAAAAGAGCCCTTTAAAGATCATTTAGATAACAGCAATTATGGTTTAGGAAAGGCATATGTGTAAGCATACTTGTAAACTCACACACATGCATGTACAAAGTAAAGCAGAGAAGAGGAAAACAAACTCAAATACTCCCATTCAGCCAGCTCTCAGATCTCCAAATGATTTAAACTAAAAATTTCATGAACTAAATAAATCGCCAGATTTTTAACGTTCTAGACCAGGATTTGACCATGCTTTAGCAGTTGCCAACCGAATTTCTCATTTCTGGGCTGTCAAAAGGTGGATAGTCATCTATGCCCTCACTAAATTCTTTACCAATACCAAGTGAACAGTAAGTTGAGGAAACCAGATCTAGCAATATTTAAGGTTCTAGAAGACTTCAACAACCTACTTGCCGAGTACTATTATGTTTCTAGGACCTTTAGCCCAACAATTAATTAGTTGAAAACCTACTTGATGAGAATAAGATACACAAGATATGTACAAATGCAAAAGATGACTAGAAAACTGAAATTGCTCAAATTCCCGGTACTTAAGAGTTTATAAATAACTACTTTATGTACACTGGCTATTTTATTACCTGAAAGCTAGCCAGGTGCTGTTGATGCTCAGCAAGAGTTGCAGCTAATGACTCAGCATGCCCACTTGTGCTACCATCATGTGCACTTCGTAAGATATCAGGACCCTCTCCGTCATTAGCTTTTGCCTGCAAAGCAATAGCAATACCAATGCTAGCACCTTACTTCAAAAGTTATAAATAGCAACATGCAATCCATAATTCCACAAATAATTTTGAATTTCCAAATTCTTTTTAAATAATTTTTAGAAAGTGCAAACTGAAATTTTTTCATTTCTGATATACTATAACCAACATCTTGTTCACATCTCCCAAAGATGGAAAATTTTAAGTGAAGGGCTTTGCTTATAGCTAATAACGTTTTTGGTCATAGAAAATAGAAGAGACCCCAGCCACAAGTTTCATTGCCACAACTTCAAACTTGATGTTACAAAAATATCTACTCAGCAATAAAATTTACAATACCACAATTTTAAATAAGCATCAGATTCATAATTATGTGCTATATAAACATTAAGTTATTCAGAATTCAGTACCGATGGCCAAGTATTAGTACAAGCTGAAACAGCTGACTTAACAAAAACAGAAAAAAACAGCATACCAGCTGAAGTGACTGTTTATGAATGCGTTGTAACGCATGCGTCCAACGTCTGATAATTTCTGCTACGTCAACAGTCTGGTGGACTCTTCCACTTCTATCATCTACCCGAGAAAGTGTCTCTTCATTGACCTGTGCGTGATATCCATCATTCTGTTCTTTATCATCCATATCACCAGACTGAATGGATAAGACGTCTGTATAAGGAGCTTGAGAACTCTGATCCAAGGCTGCAAGCAAAGATGATCCGGAGATGCGGTACCTGGAAAATAATATACATATAAAGTGGGGGACAAAGAGTGGCATATACACCATCCAAAATGACATTCAGCCGCAAAGTTACCTATGCTCCCGATGAGCTATCAAATCTTCAATAGGGCCTGAAGCAAGAACTTCATGCTGACCTGGACATATAAGTTGGTAATATCAAGGTATGAAAATGAAACAAGTTAATGAAGATATAAATGAACATATTTGATTCATTTCCACTTACTTTTACGAGCTAATATAGACTCCCATAACCGAGTGGCCTTTGAAACCAAATGAGAATTCTGACTTGAAGTAGAGACAAGATCATCCCATAGCTCCCCTTCCAACTTCACTTTGTTCCTCAAGTCATGTAGTTTTTCGAGCTCCTGCTGCAGATAAGCCTGAGATCCAGGTTTGCCAATGAAAGGCATTAGTTAAAGATATTATGTCGAAGTCATCCCTCAACAAAATGAAAAAGGGACAAGGGGATTCTATTTGACATAAATACTCAAAAATAGTTCAAATAAGTGATTAACTATTATTTACTTACCTCCTCAGCACAAAGACCACGAAACTCTGCAGTCATTTCATGAGCCAAATTTGACCACATAGCCTGTCTCTGCACAGCTGTTTCTGCATTTTTCAGAAATCTCCTCCTTTCAAGTGCTATTCTAGCCTGTTTAAAAATAGCATGTCACTTCACTGCTATGGAAGGTCAAATAAAAAGAGCTTTTCGAAACCAATGATGCAAGTATGCATGAAGTGAAATATGGTATGAGAAAATAAAACAAAGAGAAAAACAAACAAATGAAGTATGAACCTAATATAAGGAACTAGCATTTGTACTTCATATTAATAGTATATAGAGCAGGACTACCTTTGTCACTGGAAGCAGTGTAGCAGCATGTGAAAATGCAACATCAGTCAAGGGTGCAGGCAATGGGTTAGAAGCAACATCAGCTGAAAAAGTCCGTCTATGAACCTCTCTCAAAGCATGCAATGAAAGTTGCCACAAAAGCTCAACAAATCTAACAATCAAACAAATTCCATCAGCCAAGAAACCTACTCATAAATAAAACAATTCAAACTTTTTGAATCTTACATTGACATTCAGTGCCAAATATGGTAAAACATTCACTCCAAAGAGCCTAACCCAACTAGAACTGAGTTAAAGAGGCAAGCTAATTACACACTTTTTCATTTTGCTAAACTCGCTTGAATTTTCTTGGCGAACAAACAGAAATTAACTAGCTAACCTTGGTCCACAGCAAGTAGCAAGCGAAGAAACCCTCGAATTACTCCTCGGTAGAGCTCCTTGTGCTTCCAGCTCACTAATTATCCCTTGCACAACCTAAATTATCAATAAATAAGTAAAATTCAATCAACAATTCAAACAAAAAGAATATAACTCCAAAACATATACACAAAAAAATAAATCGAAAAATGAACCTTTCGAAAATCACGAGATTGCGCTGAGTCAAAAATCGGCCAAACTCTATCGAAATCCTGAAAGATCCAAAAGCATAACCAAACTGAAAACCAATACGGACCAGATCAAAACTAAACGGAACCGGAAACAAGGATTATTACTCTGGCGGATTGAGTGGGGCCACGAAGAGAAGAGAGGATGAAGTAAAGAAGCTGTTCGCCTAATTTAGGGTTAGAATGACGGAATAGTCCGACCCGAGGGGTTCCGTTGGAGGCTCCGAGTCCTATTATCGACGGATCCAAACCTAAAAGCAAGCAATTCGTGTACATTGCACTTTCGAGCTCTATCTCTCTCTCCTTCTCTCTGTCCATTGTCATCTCCCACTCTCTATCTCTCTCTCTCTCTTTCTCGGAAAATTTTCTTTTGAGAAGATCGAAAATGGAAATTTAGAAATGGTGGGTTTTTGAATCGGGGTTCGATTTTAATTTTGAGAAAGTTAGGGGGCTTTCTTTGAAAATTCGGAATGGGGCCGGGGGAGGGGAGTGATAAAGGGTGTCACGTTTAGCCGTTTGAAATAGAGAGAGAGAGCGAAAGGATTGATGCTAATGTGCGCTTTGGTAAATAAAACAAAAAATGAACTGATGCTGACGTGTTTCTTCGGAAAGGAACAAAACTGAGGCTAACCTGCGCCAGGTGAAGCTGTTGCCGGCCTGCTTTGAAATGGTTTCGGTGGCGGCATCCGGTTTTTTTGTACGGGGTTGTCTGTTTTTACCATGCTTCTCCGATGGTTAAAAATTAATAGTAAATAATATTTTGTGAGAAAATAATGACATATTTTATATTTGATATTTTTTAACCAAATTGAAAAGTATAGTATAAAATTTCATCTGTCTAAAAAAGACTATAAATTCCATCGTCACCCTAAATTAAATGATAAAATTTGACCTTATCTCCAAATATATTCATATTATTTATAAATATCAAAATAAAATAAAGTTAATTAAGAATATTTATGTGTTTTACATCTAACAAGTTACCCACTCAAGTAATTTCTTTTTCTTTCTTTAAAAACACAATTTTATTTTTTTTCAACTCACCCTTTTTTTTTCTTTACCACATAATGTGTGTGACAAAATCTAGTAGTACAAGAATGTTACCACAATTTTTTTTTTGTACAAATAATGTTAACATAATTTTGATGTATATAATTTTAGTCTTTAAAATTTTTCCCTTATTTGAGCTATAAAAACCCCAAATTATATCCTCATAAATAACATTATTTAATATAAGAAGAAAATTTAATGAGCATCTTGAAGAATTCAACAATATATATATATTTTTGAATTGCCACATACATTTGTTTTATTATATCTATTTTATTTCAAAGATGTTATTAGTGGGCTCAAGCAAAAAATATGTGACCTAAACCTAAAGCTCAATTTCAACATAGAAAGTTCAATTATTGACTGATTTCTGTTAAAGCATGTTCTCCTATAGGACAGACTTCAATATTCAAATTTCAAATAGTATTTTTTTAAATATATACTATTATTTTTTGTCACATGATAATTCCATTGGCTTATTAAAGAAAATGCTCAATGATGAAGCATACATATTTTTTATACATTAAAGCATTAAAGCATGTTAGTTGCGAGATTTGGTTCTCACTTAGATTGGTTCATTATGAGATTTTCACTTTATTTCTTTTGCTTTTAATTAATTAATTTAGTTTAGAGCAATGGGTATGAAAGTTTTTTTATGTTGGGTTTTGTGAAAAAAAAAATTAAAAAAAAAGAAAACTAATAATTGACTAATAAAAATGTAAAAGTTTGAATGATGCACTAAGTCATGTGTATAGCAATGGTATAATTGAATGCTTGAGAAGGCAGTGACCTTATGCTTGCTTAACTTGAGTGCCAACTTACCCTTTAATAAGGAATCCTTAACTTGGCCAACGAAGAAAGAGTAGAAAGAGGAGTATGTAAACAAAAAGAAGAATGTGTTTGGTGAGTGATGGTAGCATCATATTCAAGTGCTAATTAACATGTTCATGTGTTAGCTTGAACCACCCATAAAACTACTTCAATTTGCCTCAAAAAAAACAAAGAAGTCTAGCTTAGCTCATTTGGTTTACAATTGGATTAACTCTATGTAACCATTTATGAATTTATTATCAAATATATTATAATTAGTTATGAATTCACATTCAAATTAATATATTCATAATATCATTTTTTTTAGAAATAAAATTCAAAATAATGAAAAAGTATAATATTTTAAAAATTAAATTATTTAATAATATTTAAATAAATTTTTATTCTTTTTATTTTCTTCAAATGAGAGTTAATATGACAAGTTGACTTGTCATAATGGATAATAACATGATATGCTGATGTGGCATATTCCACTCTCCACTTTAATATCATGTAAGGGTAAGCAAAATTAGATCGGACTAATGAATCCATTGATTCAAATATAATTTGAGTTAAACGGTTTGGTCTAATTAGTCAATTGGATCTATTGATCTAAAAAAATTGATCCAATTGATTTATTCGGTCGATTCTTAATTTTAAAATTTTAAACCAAATCTTAAATTAGATAGCTTACATGAGCATGGACGGACCTACCTTAAGGTGAATGGTATCACATGATACTACTCATTTACCAAAAATTTTTACTTTATATACTATTTATCTAGAGCTTTAGGTAGTTAAAAGATGCCAATGAACCTACTAATTTTTTTACAACTTTGTAAGCAATAGGTTTAAAAACTCAAAGTCAAAGTAAATTTATCAAAAAGTAATTTATATATTAATATTTAAATACTACATGAAAATAAAAAAAAAAACTTCATTCTATAATTTAAGATTTTATTAAAAGAATTAAAACCTAAACTACTCTCACTCTCCAAATATTCAAATCCTACTCTTAAGATCTATAGTGACACTTCATTTTCTCAATCTTTGATTGTGTTTTTCACTCTCTAAAAACAACATAGATAGGTTTCAATTGTAAGTAATTTTTAACCCAAATTAAGTTTTTTAAAATATTTTCTACCTAAATATTTTTTGATTAATTTGATAATTTGGGACTCAAATAGAATCTAACTAATATAAAATAGCATTGTATGTTAAATAATATTTTGAAATTATAAGTCTTTCTTTTTTTTATTTATTTTGTAAATATATTGTTTGATTATTTGATTTTTGTATTGAACTTTATGTGATTTATAAATGTTTATACTTAGTTTTGATCAATGAATAGAAATTTGTTAAATTTTAATTGTTGAATTGATAATTTGTTATGTAATATCATATTTTATTTTATTTTAAATTTTTAGTTTAAACTAATAAGAAATGAGTAGTAATTTTTAACATGTTTTTGGATAAATAAGTCACAAAATATATTTTAAGATATAACAAATTATTTCACAATATTCAGGTATTGGGCAACAATAACATAATTTTACTAATGATGGTATTTAATAATCTTCTAAGTAAAATCGTGTTGAATTTGATATAAGTATTCTTTTGGTAGATTTGGATTGAGGGAAATTTTTTTAATTATTATTATTATTTTAGTTATAATACTATTTAGAAAAAATTCTAAATTCGTCCCTCTACGTAGATGTGATTCAAGTTGATGGTGAGTGATGATTGATTGTCTTGTGTTAAATAGTTTTATTTTATGAATGTTAATTTTATTATCATTATTATGTTAAATTTTGAATGTTAATTTGATGGTTTATATGAAAAGACAAATGTTATGTTTTCTTATATTTAAATTATTTATATATTTTATAATTATAGATGAAGCTTATATATTTTAATATTTTAATTTACAAAAAAAATTGATAAAAGTTTGATCCAAAACTAAATCAATTGACCTAATTCGATGTTTGATTGGTTTTGTCCTCCTTAATGTTTGATTTGTTTTGATTGATTTTTAAAAAATATTTGATCTGTTCGGTCTTTAATTATGGAGGATCAAATTGCAAACTATATAATTGTTCACCTTTAGCTTAATGTCAGTGTTATATAGATATAAAAATAACAAGTGATAGTTTGACTAATATCAATTAATCAATTCTTTATTTTGAGGACATATTTTTTTCAAAATAAAAATATATAAATTTGATCGAACGTAATAGAATAATATTCATTTATTTAAATTTTTTAAAATAATTCAAAAACTTTTTAAAATATTATAATTAAAAAAACTTGTATGTTGAATAAAACTCAAAATTTTTTACCATACATTCAATTTGATCTAGCTTAGATTAATTAGGCACATAAATATAACCAAAATTAAAGAAAAATGTAAATAAAAATAAAATAATAAAAGGAAGATGTGCAACGAAAAGAGCCTGGGTCAAATGGCCCAAATCTAAAGTAGAGCCCAGAAATTACCTTTCTTTTCTCAATCGTGCTGACAAGCTGGCACGTGTCAGTGCTTGCAAAGTAGGAAAGGAATAACAGTAAAAAAGAAAATTGAAACGAAAAAAACAAAAAACGAAGAAATTTCACAAGGGGCAGAGCAAGCAGGAGCTTTTGCAGCAGCAAACCACGGAAGGAAAAACAGGAAACTGGAAACTTTTATTTGCTGCTGATGATTGTTGATGGTTCTTGGAGACTGAAGAGGAGAAGATTCACTAACATTGATCCCATGGAGGCTGCATCCGCCAAGGTCTTTTATTGTTATCTTCTCCTTGATTTAAAATCTTTCTTTGGGGGGAGGGGGGGGTGTTCAGAATCCTGTTTTTAATGATGGGTTGATCTCGGTTTTTGCTATGATTTTGTTATTCAGCACTGGGTTGATCCTGTTCTTCTTGTTGTTTGCTCAATTGGGTGTGTTGCCGTCTCTTGATTTTTGATGCTGCAAGATGGTAAAACAGATATTTAGCTTAGCTCGAAAAAGAGATATAGATATAACGATTGCTTCAAGTTGAGCTCAAGTCTTTTAACATAACAAATTAGCTTCATTGTATTGGAATTAAGCTTCATCTTGGTTTCTTTTGCAATATTTATTGTCTTGTGTGGTTTATGGTGCCGAGACCTGATACTAAAACCGTGTTGCATTCATGAACTGATGGTGGCTGTGCGTCAACTAGAACAGCTAAAGTTAGTTAGTGGAATCCTTTTTAGTTTATAGGTGAAAGTGCCCTTAAAAGTTAATATGTGTAATTAGATAAAAAGGGAAATCGGAGGAAACAGTTAGTGCATGGAATGAGTACCCAGCCATTTAAACTTTATTTAATTATTTGAGTGACTGTTATTGTTGTAACCTTATTTTAGGAATATCAGTGCATATGAAGTTGTGGAATCCTGTTCTGATTTAGTCTTCCGGTTTTAGTTCTGTTTTTGTTTCAACTGCATCCTGTGCTTCCTGTGGTGTTTGTAAAAGAGTTACGTAGATGTCAGAAAATGTCTTATATCACTTTTGAATCTACATGATCCTGGTCTTGAGAAGAGCATATTAAGTAGAACCTCAGGATGATGTTGTATCCTATTAGTAATATGTTTGTCCTAGGTTCCAAAGAGACTGCTTTTCCATTCTTAAGCGCAATGAACTTTGGTGAGAACATTCATTTTAACTTTTTGATTTGTGACTCCTATATCATGTGTGGTATGCAGACTGCTGCTAGGTGTTATGCTATTTTTTTTCTTTTTTGACTTCCATCTGAATGATTTTAGGCTAAGCTCGCTGCTGCAAAAGAGAAGTTTGGACGAGAAATCCGTGTCTTTGAAACTTTGCCAACATCAAGTGAAGTCTCCAATACTGGTATGACCTCCCAAGGCATATTTTCAGACTTTGAACTTGCTTACTGACTAGAAGTGTCAGTTCATGGCGATAAACCGATAAAATGTGTTTTTCTTTATTTTCTGGGCAGAGGAGCCAGATGACTTCTATGAGTTCACTCCAGAAGATTACTATCGAGTAATGGCAAGTAAAAAGGAAGGTACTTTTGTTGATGAACTTAACTCATAATAAACTCTATCCCCTCAGCTTGGTTGAGATATTTTTACTGGTTGATTTTGGGGTTTCAGTTATGTCAAAGTTATAACCATGGCATGCTATGTAACAATCACAGTGGCCAAGCATAGTAAAAGATATGTATGTGCACAATCTTGTTGTGCATGATTGCCAATTTTATAAATCAATCACAGTGGCCAGGTTATTTGAAATTTTTTTATTAGAAACGTATTTACATGTTTTGAAGTGGATGCTATTGTGAACAGATAAGTTCTTGAAAACACGAAAAATTCGAGAAGCAGAAGAGGCAGCTCGAAGATCAAAAATAACAAAGGTAGTTGCTACTCCTTTTGGGAATCTTTTAGTTGTTTATTTGCTTAGAGTGCTTCAATCTCAATGGTTACAGAACTTTATTCAGGATGAATACTGAATCTTAGAGTAGGTTGGTCTGGTTTTACTTGTGATTAAGTTTATATGTTCATATTCAGGTTGTGATAAGGGTTCGCTTTCCTGATAACCACACATTAGAGGTAACATTTCATCCATCAGAGACAGTTCAGAGCTTAGTTGACTTTATGAAGAAAGTGATTGCTCGACCAGATTTACCATTCTATATATGTAAGCATATTTAAGTATGACACTTTAGGTCAGTTAGATAATAGCTAGATGTTGGTTGTGAAACCAGTGCCCTGAATGCCTAATATTTGATCTTGTTTAGATACTACTCCTCCCAAGAAGCAAATGAGGGACATGACACAGGATTTTTTCTCTGCTGGCTTCGTTCCTGGTGCAATTGTGTATTTTTCGTACGATCTGCCAAAAGGTTAGTATGTGCTTTCACATATATGTAGCGTTTCTGGCTATATATTTCTAACTGCCAGTTGGATTTCAACATTGGTTTCTAATGCTGTTGTCACATTTATGATCATGCCATGTCGAGTTAAGCAACGTACACTTCTTTATGGTTGTCATTACCATGTTTTCAACATCCAAATTTGCTATTTCTAGTCTGGTATCGGCATGTTTAATATTGGCTTCATTTTTTGTTGAGCAGTTAATAAGCCAGTGTAAGGCTGTTGGATAAATACTTCTTAAACATGTTAAGTTCAACTTCTGAGAATTTCCTGCGATTGTTCACTAAATTATGTAGTTTGTACTGTTGAATGGATACTATGCTCAACATCTCCCCCTCTTAATTCCTTAGATCTGGGGTTATCTGACTCTACAAAATGTGATTCACTGGCTAATTTCGCATTGAAATGTTTAGATGATGATGCTGCAGCTGCCAATTCAGCCCCCTTCCTTCAAGATGAGATAATGTCTTTGAAAGGTTTGGAAGTCATTGCTGAGCAGCCAGAGCCAGTTCAATCTGCTCCAGAACCAGCTGCTACCAGTGCAGCACCAGCCACTGTTGTGCAAGAGAGCAAACCTACTGAGAAAAAACCTGCCAAGCCAAAGTGGTTTAAAATGTGATTTGACCATCACAAGCCAGAGCTCCTTTATTCCCTTGTAGCACTTTTGTTCCATTTTGAGAGGTGTGATTCCCCTTCATATCTCCATAGTGATGCCTGAATCTTGGCCCTGCTCCTGCTGGTGAGCTTCAACATATGATGTCAACAGTCCTAGATGTCAACAGACAGTCGATTGTAATGGCAGATCAAAGCAGAAAGTTGTTCAATGGTGTCTAACAGGTGACTCTTTTTCATATGGCAACCCTTTGTGGAGGATGTTTATACTTACCAAGTCAGATGTGAATATTTTGATGTGTTAAGCCGTGGTCCTTTACACAGTTGCATAATTGATTCCTTTGCTTGATTATTCCATAACATCCCAGTCAAGCAACCCTTTTTGCAATGCTACATAAACTGAGATTGCTTGTGGAACAAGGAAAATTACATGCCTCCAACCAAAAAAGTGCTTCAAAAACCATTGAAAAAACCCAAATCATTGAAAGTTAAAAATACTTGTAAAATCATATTTCTCGTAATATTTAACTTTTAACAGCATACCAAGCAAGTTTTATATAATAAATTCAGTATTTAAATTTTTAAAAAATTAAAAGTTTAGTACATAATATTTGAATGCTGAAATTTCTCAGGTTTATGAAATAACATTCAAAAATTATGGCTAGAAGCATTTGGGCTTTGCTTAAAAGAGTCAAGGCCCAACTTGAAGGCTCCCCATAAATTGGACTCAAACTCCAACATGTTGGCCCAAAAAGTGAAATTTAAGGGATGGTCATGTCATGTACGTGTACTCAACAACCTGAGTTAGTTACCTACCTTGTCCAAGGCATGGTCTTGCGATTGTAGGTCAATGACCTTGACAATTAGGGGCACAAATGACCCAAAAACAGAAAGTAGACCCTTTGTTTCTTTTTATTTTTTGACTTAATCTCCATAAAAATCAAAGACAGACAAAGGAAAAGAAACAGAGGGAGTATGAAAAGTTTTCCATTGAAGTCAATTTTCTCCCTTCTTGGATTAAGTGGAAGTCAATTTCCCACCACTTGGAAATTGGAAAAAAAATCAAAGGTAAAAAGTCAAAATTGCTGCTTTCTTTGAAGGGCAAGCTTGAGTCAATTCTAGAATGGCATCACCCTATGCGTAAAGGAGGGTTTATTATTAACTACAATATCTTGCATTTTTGCTGAATTTTGACCAATTAAAGTCTCATTTCCCACTCAAATTGGAAAAGCAATGGCATAAGATACAATCATGTCTTTGGAAAATATTATTAACACTCAAACCTACCCACTAAAGAATTCTATCATTTACCATCATCCAATTTTAGTTATTGACATAATGGCACGTGTTATTGTCCCGTATTTGCACTCACTCGAGAAAATTTAATTCAGAGTAAACTCCATTTATTATCTTTTTAATGTTACTTTTTTCACATTTTTTTTATTTTTTAAAATTATAAATTTTATCTAACAAAATTATAAAAATACATGGTAAAATTAACAATTTAATTTTATGGGAACAAAAATTATATATAGAAAAAAATTACGCTATATCACATGAGAAAAGTTAAAACCATAAAAAATTATAAGTAGAGTTTACATTGAATACGAACATACTCACATTAATTCATCATATCACATCAAAATTTCGCAATTAAGCCTTCTTAAGTGAAAGTTGAGAAATTTTAACAATTTGAAAAAAAAAAGGTGGAGTTTATTTTTTTTAAAAATAATTAATATAGATAATTAATTAAGAAATGGAAACCAAATAATTGTAAGGATTAGATAATGAGATTGCCTTTCTATGACATGACATTGTGTTATTTTTGGCTTAAATTGAATTTGATTTTCTTGTTGAGCTTAACCTACCCATCCCATCCTTCCCATATCCATAATTATGGTTGATAAAATGTGCTCAACTACCACCCATCCCCTCCTTTCCGGTTCACCATATGCTTTGGCATTTTTTTGAGTAAGTTTTGCATGGATAATTTAATATTAAAAAATATATAAAATGGGGCCCATTTATATATTATTACTAATTAAATATTAATGTATTATGTTTGAAAGTTAATTATATTTGTCCCCTAATTTCAAAGATGATTGACTCTTGGTCATCTAACCGCTCCGGTCTATATGAAAGGTGAAACGGAAGTATGTAGATGGAGTATATTTATTTTGTATTAGGATGTTACTATTTAACATTTTATAACCATAATTAAGTGATGTTCGGATTTCATGGTATGTGGGATCAGACTTTTAAAAGTTTAATCCGAATTCGATTTAGAGTTTCAAATTTCAATCATTTTATGATGAAAATAATTAATTTAAAGAGACGTGTAAAGTTGTTTATATTTATAAATTTTTTAATATCTCTTTATGTATTCGATATAAGATTGAAACAGTGTATTTATTTTTTATTTTTTGAAATATTTAATGTGATAATTTAGATATTACAAAATTAATTCGTAAATTTTTTAGAAAAAAACTTTAAAATAAAAAGGGTTATATGTGTAAAAATATATAAAGGGAGATTTATTGTTTTTAAATGAAATTATTGAAATTGACATGCTGAACAATGACAGGTAGGATATTTTATTTTAATTGTGAAATGGACCCCATAAGATACATAAATCTATGGAAAGGACCTAACGGTATACGTTCTTGATCACCTCGTGTCAGGACTATCCATCTTAGCTGGACTCTGCTAATCAGGACCGTTCGTTACATCGAACTCTGCGGACATCACGTGCGAAGCAAGTCTGATCCTCTGATATTTAATTAATGGTATTGGGATTTGAAACATCGGATTTATTATTATTTTATCTGTAAACGGTGACGGTTGGAGGGTGAAAACTCTTTATGATTCGTAAATCTGTTAGCGCCACCGTGTTTCATCCGTATATTATCATATTTACAAAGTGCACCCTTTGGAGTTTTTGATTTTATGGTTGACCCCACAATCAAATTGACTGTTCTCAATGACACCCTTTTCTAAATTAATTAAAGAATATTAAATATTTAAAAAGAGAAAATCATGAATGTCCAAATGTAAATATTCAAAATAAATATTATTAAAATTACAAATATTTATTTTTTAAAACTTTTAAAAGTTCACTAATAATTTAGAAAATTTATATACTGTTGTTGCATCATCCATACATGCTTGTTTTATTCAAAAAAAATTATTAATTGTTTTATTGTTAAAGAATAAATATGCATTCATACATGAATTAAATATAGTGTATAATAAAAAAAACTCAAGATGTTATATATATAATTAAAAAATTATCAAATCATTATAGATAGATCAATATTTTTTATTAGTCAAACAAATCTATTAAATATTCATATGATACTACAAAAATTATATAATCTGATTAATTTGATTATGGAGAAATTTAGGTAGAAAATAGCAAAAAGTAGTAAACGAAACTGGCGGGGCAAAAACAGAAATACGGTGAAATTTAGGTGGCAAGGTGAGAAAAGGAACAGAAAAAATTCTTGTAAACTACGGCGGCTGGTAAGAATGAGAGGCGGACAGAAAGAGTTGGTGAGCAATACAAAAAAACTGCTTAAATTCCAGGAAGTTTGACACCCACTTTTCAAACATTAACTCAATACCAAACCAAGCTCTCTCTCTCTCTCTTCAAATCCCAGGGTTTCATTTTTCTCTGAGTTTGCTGTTAAGGTTTGTTTTACTTCATTTCCATGATCTGGGTTCTTAATTCTTGCTTCTGAGGAAGTGTTCTTATTGAGTTTCTTTGATTGGTTGTTTCATTTGATTTGAATTCTGAGTCGGGTTTGTTTCTTTCTGGGATCCATGCAATAAAGTTTGCGTTTCTGATGTGTTTCTTTAGAATGTTTTTGTAAAACCGAGGAAAGCTAAAGGAATCTAAATTTCCATGTCTTATATTGAGCTAATTGTAATTTGGTAGAGTAAAAATGTAAGTCTTACGTCAAGCTTTACTGTTTCTTTAATCTTGGTTGATATGATGGATTAGTGTAGGATTTGAAGTATTCATTCTTGAAAACAGTTGAGGCCAAGCAAGAAACTGACGACAACCAATAGTTCATTTCAGTTCTTGAAAACTGATCAAATCATTTAATGAATATGGCCATATGGGCAATTCAGTATCTTTTCACTTACAGCTCACATTTCTTTGAATACAGATCATACAAGGATCACAGCAAGAGCAAAATCTTTGTTTGACTTGTAAAATAGAAGCTTAGAAGATGGGATCAGGTGAATGGTGCCTTCAGAAAAGAGATAGCTTTAAGAGTGATTCATTTTCAACCAATGAGAATGTGCAGGAAACTGGGTGCCTCTCAATTATCGTTCTTGGTGCCTCTGGTGATCTTGCCAAGAAGAAGACTTTCCCTGCTCTCTTTCATCTTTATTGCCAGGTTAGGTGTTATGTTCATTAATTTTATCAGAACTGAAATGCGATTGATACTACGTGTGGAGTTTTTGGTTGGCTTTGCCAAAAAGGCTAAACACTGTGTGCATCGGTGTGCTAACTTTAGATGGGCATGTTGTCTGTGCAGGGATTTCTACCACCAGATGAGGTGCACATTTTTGGCTATGCAAGGACTAAGATTTCAGATGATGAATTGAGAAATCGCATTCGTGGGTGAGATATCTATCCTCTCATTTAAAAAGGACAATAAAAGAAAATTTTATCAATTGCTCCACTTCAACAGTTGTTCACACTTTGGCCAGAAAATTTTTTGTGCTCACAGTTCATTTCATTTTGACGAATGATGCAAATGATAACCCTGACTGACATTTTAATTGAAATGGCAGATATCTTGTCAGTGACAGAAGTGCTTCACCCTTAGAAGATGTATCAAAGTTCTTACAGCTGGTCAGTACAGGCTGTACAGCCCTAGTTATATGTTTACCACACTTCAATCCTATGTCTGCTTACAACAAGCAATTGCTATGATTTGTAGATTAAATATGTAAGCGGGTCATATGATGCCGCTGAGGGCTTTCAACTGTTAGACAGGGAAATTGCAGCGCATGAATTCTCGAAAAGTAGCCAAGAAGGGTCATCACGGAGACTCTTTTATCTTGCACTTCCGCCATCAGTATATCCATCTGTTTGCAGGATGATCAGGCAATATTGCATGAATAAATGTAGGTACTTCTGTCCCAAGACCAACAATGTGGGAATTATATCGTTTTAGATGATTTATAGGCACCTCTACGAAGAACTAATTTCATGTTTTATACTTTCTTCATATTTGTTTCATGATTCACTAAAGCTAAGTTGCCATCATCTTCTCTTGAGCACAAGTTATAGAAGGTTTCTTGCTGTCTGCACACATTTTGGATTGAGAGAGGCAATATCTTGTGTAGTACTGCTATATTCCTGGAATTGTTGCTTCATTATTAGGATACTTTTGAGTTCACCCCTTTTACATGATGCCTGTATGGATGTGATAACAAGATATATGATTTTTTCCAGCTGATCTTGGTGGATGGACTCGGATTGTTGTTGAGAAGCCCTTTGGCAAAGATTTGGACTCTGCAGAGCAACTGAGTTCCCAGATTGGGGAGTTGTTTGAGGAACCACAAATTTACCGTATTGATCACTATTTGGGAAAGGAATTAGTTCAGAACTTGGTAATGAATGTGTAAACAAATGCTTTCTAGTACTTGATTTATTTAGCAGCTCTGCTCATATCTGGGTTTGTGGCGCTTGCAGTTGGTACTTCGTTTTGCTAATCGCTTGTTCATGCCCCTTTGGAATCGTGACAACATTGATAATGTACAGGTGAGAATCCTAAAAATTGCAAACTACTAATGTGAAGTTACTGGTACTGTATATTAGGTTGGGATAGGCTTACTGGGATAGGCTGTTATATCATTGCAACAAGCTGCATGTGTACATGCTGATGTTTACTTCAAAAAAAAAATGTCAAAACCATTGCTGGCCTGACAGCATTTTTAATTGTCAAGTAATAACTTGATGCTAATCTCTATTTTCATTTTTTCTTCTGGCAGATTGTTTTCAGAGAGGATTTTGGAACTGAAGGTCGTGGTGGATATTTTGATGAATACGGGTATGGTACATGGCACTTAGTTCTAGTATCCCCATTGTATAGGAATGTTTATGAAGAATCATGCAACTTCTCCTTCTCTGTGATTTGAAATATATTTCCTAAAAAAAAGGAGTATCTTTGTACACTACAATGACGTTTGCTGGTTTCCATGCAATTTGAGTCCCTAATTCCAACTGACTTTGGAAAAGAATACAAGACCTTCCTGGTACCCAAGACTTATTAACTGAAAGAGAACATGTTAAATATCTTTCTGAGTCTCTTTTCTCTTTGTGCAGAATTATCCGCGATATTATCCAAAACCACCTGTTGCAGGTAAGGTCATTACTAACCTCACGTGGATATCATATGGTTAAGAATGCAACCTTTGCGTAATTTGCTGTGTATGTGACTGGAGTGTCTATAAGTTGAACGTCATTTCCTCTGATTTGTGTTTTGAGTTGTAGTTTTATTAAATCTTTTAAGTCAGGCAAGACGTTTTCTTTTCAAAGGAAATTTCTTAGAATATGTGCTCATTTTGATTCCTGAAGGCATTACTCATTAGGTCTCATGATTCTTGTCCTCTACCCAAAAGGAAAGAAAAATGAAATAGAACAAGTTGGAGGCAGAAAATGCTGTGTAGCGTTAACCTACTTTACCTATTTATTGAGTTCATTTCAACTGCAGGTTCTTTGTCTTGTTGCTATGGAGAAGCCTGTTTCTCTCAAACCTGAGCACATTCGTGATGAGAAAGTGAAGGTGCCTATCTTTTCACTCCTTACTTTAGAAAGTGACTGCTTGTTGTTTATTTTGGCTTTCTAACAGTAGGATCTATGACCTAGAAGCATTACTTTATGCGAAACAAATCAACTAAGTATTAAAGGCATCCATTTTAAAGTAGTTATGGTTGATGTGATGCTCCTCCAGAAGGTTCTTCAATCCATTTCTCTAGTATATGCTGATTACTATATAAAATCCAGGTTCTTCAATCCATTTCTCTAGTATATACTGATTACTATATAAAAGCCAGGTTCTTCAATCAGTACTTCCAATTAAAGATGAAGAGGTTGTACTTGGACAATATGAAGGTTACACAGATGATCCAACAGTTCCTGACCACTCAAACACTCCAACATTTGCAACTGTTATTCTCCGTATACATAATGAAAGATGGGAAGGTAGTATTGTTGTTCGTTTTTTCCTCCTATAAAAATTTTTTAGTGGCTCAGCCCGAGAAAATCTAAGCATCTCATTTGAAATTTGCTGTTATTTTATTATTTGATGTCTGAGTCTGTTGGTCACTACTGTTGATTGTTTTATGTTCTTTTCATTGGATAGATGAAATCATAAATTTAATTGAAATTTCTCATTAAATTTTCTAATTGCATTCATTGATTTGTTTCCAGGTGTTCCATTTATACTAAAGGCAGGGAAAGCATTGAATTCAAGAAAGGCAGAGATACGTGTTCAATTTAAGGATGTTCCTGGTGATATATTCAAATGTATGACAATAATAGACCTTTAAGATTCTTGATAACTTCCCTCATATGATTGTTTGTTTCCATTGAGCTGCTTTTGTAGTCTTTCCGATGAACTTGAGTGTGGAAGTGTGATACTCTCCGCCTTAAGTTTACTTGGGAAGTTATCACATTTATGAATAATAACTTCAGAAGCTTACATTGAAAACTAAGATAGTAGTCTTTTAATATGTAAGGGTGTCTTTAGTGATTATTTATCTATGATAGATAAAATACATGTCATTTATTGATCTATGAAGACAATGGTGATTGTCCATGAATGAAAGAGAATGAGCTTGAACGGTTCCATTTGAAGGTTTAGTTGTACCTTATGGTTGTGGTGTTAGAGGGAAGCACATTTGTCGGATGAGTGGGTTCTACTTGTATAACGTAATAACAGTTGGCATGGATAAAGCACATTTAATGTTCTTGTCAAAACCCTTTTTTTTTTTGACTCTTTTGAAGTAGTCTAACCTTTTAATCAGCTTGTTACTTGAATTTTGTCTTCTTATTTAGGTAAAAAGCAAGGCAGAAATGAATTTGTGATACGCCTGCAACCTTCTGAAGCCATGTACATGAAGCTAACAGTGAGTTTGTTAGTCTTATTGTGTCAATTTCAAAGCTATTAGAGCTATAATTGCTATGTATGAGGATTTTCCTGCTTGTAAATTCAGATGTTGCTTTCCTGCTTCAAGATGTTTGTCTGCTAAATTTTTTAGAAAAGATATTTTTAAAACCAACAGTTACCATTCGCATTATCTTAAATATTTGGTTGTAGTGGGTGACAAGATACGAGGATGCTCCTTATGATGACTTTTGTGCACCATTGATTCTCAATCCTGAATACTTGATGGCCCTTCCTTGTTTTATCAGATTTTGGAGACATTTATATGAATTTTCTAGAATTTTCCAAAATCCATTGCCAGATTCATCAAAAGCTGCTCATATGGCCAATCACAAGTGACAGGATGTAGCCTTCAGTTAGTTTAAGCATTGAAAAATAGTTGCTAGAATTAATTGCTAGATCTTTATGCTTGTATATTGACTTGTATTTTTTCATTGATGCAGGTGAAGCAGCCTGGTCTGGAGATGTCAACAGTGCAAAGTGAACTAGACTTGTCATACAGGCAACGTTATCAAAATGTTATAATTCCTGAGGCTTATGAACGTCTTATTCTTGACACGTATGACTTGCCCTTTCTGTTCCTTGAAGCATTCTTGTCTACAAGGCTTTACTCTTTCTACTTTCAAATGAAATGCATAATTTTTTACCTGACCTTCAAAGGGCTAGTAGTTGTGGTATTGAGGATTACAAGCTGTGGTAACTAGTTAAATACAAGTAAATTGAGAATATCAGTTGTACAATACATGTGTAATGAACAATGGAATCTGGTTTTGTCTTTACAGGATAAGAGGTGATCAGCAGCATTTTGTTCGCAGAGATGAATTAAAGGTAAGAATTCATGTATGCTTTGGAAGAAAATAACTCATAGGGGCAATTCATAATGACATTTGTATTGCTTCAAACATCAGGCGGCATGGGAGATTTTCACGCCTCTTCTACACAGAATTGACAATGGTGAACTGAAGCCAACTCCATACCAACCAGGCAGCCGTGGTCCTGCAGAAGCTGATGAGCTTTCAGCTAAAGCTGGTTATGTTCAAACACATGGATATATATGGATTCCTCCCACCTTGTAGAAACTTGCTAGCTTGCAGTATTCCTTCATCAGCACTGTATAAGTTGAAGTTTTCGCTAAAGCCCGTTTGTAATGCATCCAATAAAATTGTAGCCGTGTAACCCTATATCAGCCGGGCCAGCCTGTTATAGAGTGCCATAAAAATATGCTTAGCCGAAGAGCTTTGTTCCCCTGCCTGTTTGAAGTATGTACCTTTGCCGTACTTTGTGTGTAAAATATGATTTGATATCCCTTTAAATCATATTTCCAACTCTTTATGAAGGGTCTTTCCTTGTCATAGAAGAGAAGCTTTTGTTTCTGTTTTTCGATATGGCTGCTAAGGAATCAGGCTGGCTTGACCCTAGAATAAAGCTCTTCCGAACCTGTTTTGCTTGAGCCATCTTTTTGTAGTTTGCAAGAAATCTATAGCTCCACTCTGAATGATAAATAATACATTCAAAGAACTGCTGAACTTTTTCACCTTTTCTGGACAAAGATAATTCTGCATTTAAACATATCTGCCCCTCAAATTTTCCATTGGAGCTAAAGGATTATACTTTTTTCTAACCAAACTTCCAAGGGAATAAAGATGGAGCTAACATCATACAGAATCTGATCTTGACTTTCTTTGATTTGAATAATCAAAACTGTACTATATCTGCCAGATCTTCATGTATCTGATGTATTCATTATCAGTAACAGAACTCGGAGACTTCTGACCCTTAATTTCTTTATCAACATGCTTATCCTAATAATAATAATACTTAATAATCTCTTTCCTTGGAAGAATATATATATATATATATTTGTATGTATCTACGTGTGTATGTTTTGTTTTTCCACATAAGTTGGAAGGTGAAGGAACCAAAGAAAGAGTGGTAGGATACCCAAAGCAAAGAAGAGCTTGGAGGGCAGGTAAAACCATGTGGAGCCCTAACTTTCCATGCACCTGTCTGCTGAAAGCTTTCCTTTATCAACCACACATTTCTTTCACTTCTTCTTCCTAAATTCCCTCAACCTTTACCTCTAACCTTAGCCCTTCACTGTACTTGTCAAAACATTGTACCCAATATTCTTTTTTGGTCAAGTTAATTAAAAGAAAGATTATAAGTTTAACTTCAAAAAGCCACATACAAAGTCATGATTTGATGCAAATATGTTGCAACAACCCAAACCAAAATGCTAACACATTTTATTATTATTATTATTAGAAAAAAATGACTTCAGCCTAATTAGTTGAGGCATGGGGTTATGATAAAAACACTTTAATTGTTTCAAAAGAGGAAAATTGAGGGAATTAAGCATGACAAAGTAGATTTGATGGAGGTGATGATAGCTTGCGAAATGATGTTTGAACATACTAAATTTAATGCCTTGTGGAGATAATATTTATTTGGATTTATGCGGAAAAATAAGGAAGAACCAAGAGTGGATTAATTAAAAATTTAATACTAGATAAAATGTCCATGTCAATGCTATTTTATGCTTATCATAAAACATAAGATGCCAATTTAATTGTCAAAAATATAATATATATGCCAATTTTAATACACCTTTATTTATTTATTTACACTAATAATAGGAAATACCCAAAATTAAAAAATTAGCAATAAATTTTGTATCAAATTATTAAAATTAAAACAAATATCTTTTTCCATGATCTAAGTTGGGTTCACCACCACCACTTACAAATCCAAATCCAAAAAGGCTTCTCTCAATCTTAATTAATTATTTAAATAATTAATATAATTTTTTTATAAAAGAAAAAGAATATATAAAATCACCCGTCTAAAATAAAGCACTCCTGAGGGTTAGTCCTCCAATTGGCCAGGAACTTTAGTTTCCTCTCCCCTTATTTCTCTCCTTCTTCTCCCTTATTTTTAGCAAACTCTGTTTTTTCCTCTGTTTCTCTTTCTCTCTCTCTCTCTCTCTCTGTTCTTTACCCTTTTATTGTTCTTCTTCTCTGTCGTTCTGCATTCCTCCTTTACATGGAAAAGTTTGGTCAAAAACTTTGATTCTTTACCTCCTGAGTTAGATTCTCTCATAATAATATTTTTTTTTCACTTTTTTGTTGCCCTCTATTCATATACCTTGTCCTTCTTCACTACTCTCTCTGTCTTTCTCTCTCTCTCTCTCTCTCTCTCTCTCTCTCTCTCTCCATTCTTTTGAAGTTTCAATTTTTACGTTCAGGTTAACGTAAAAGGGCGAAAAAAGGTCTTATTTTTTCAGCATAAATTTGGCTCCTTTGGCTTTCTTTAGGTTTTTACAAGAAACCCTATAGAATCTCTGGTGTCTTATTTCTTTTTAGCTTTGTTTTGTCACCTGGAATATTGGGTTTTCTCGTATTCTGATTGGACTTCTAAAAATTTGGTTAAATTTATTTTTGGTTGGTCGATTATGTTATTTGTTTCCATTCTTGGCTTAGTTTAGGGTTCTTGATCGAGGGTTATTGTTATTTTTGGATTTGTTGGTGTTTGAAGAATAAAACTAAAATGGCTTTGAATGATTTTGGGAATTCATGGAGTTTTTGGAGTTGCAACTGGGATGTGGAGGAAAACCATAGCAGTGGAAGTAGCAAAAGTGAATCAAACGGCTTTTCTGAGGCTATTAGTGATGATATTGTTGATAGATTGCCTGCAGATCCATTTGGGATGGAAATAAGGTCTACTTTAACTGCAGCAATCGCAGGTTGGATTCAGGATTTTGAGAATGACTTTGGGTCAGATTTCTGTGTGTTTGATATGCAAGATGGTGATGAAAAGAAGATTGCTGATCAACAGCATTTGTTCAAGGGTCTAAATTGGGTTTGGAATGGCAGCATGAGCATCCAACAACAGGAAGGGAACTCTAGTGTTGGTGAATTTGGTTCAGAAGATGTTGGTGAATTTGGTTCAGAAGATGTTGATAAAAAGATTGGTGATCAATGCCTAAATTGGGTTTGGAATAGTACCATGAGTTTTCAACAGGAGGAAGGTAACTTTGAGATCAACGAAGTATTAGTCCCTAATGATGATTTTAATGGATTTGGGATTGGTAATAGACTTTCCATTGGGGGTTTTGTGTCTAATGATGAAGGTAAGGAATTGGAGGATTGTAAGGGAGTTTTTTGTGATGGTAGTGAAGGAGGTGCTCCAAATGATGCTTTGTTTTTTGCTCTTGGTTATCTTGGTGTTAAGGACCTCCTTGCAGTTGAAAGGGTTTGTAGGTCTTTGCAGGATGCGGTTAGAGGTGATCCTCTTCTGTGGAGGAGCATTCACATTGAACAGACATTGAGTAGGAGGATTAATGATGATGCTCTTTTGAAATTAACTAGCAGGGCTCAAGGCACTCTAGAATGCTTGAGTCTAGTGGGGTGCTTAAAAATCACAGATGACGGTTTGAAGCGTGTGCTTGAAAGCAATTGCAGGCTTACTAAGGTTAGTGTTTGCAGTGCAAGTAGCTCTTCCTGAGTCAATAAAGTTCATTCATTTTACAGTAATTTATTTATTTTTTAATTCATGGCTGTACATATATCTTAAGGATTATCAGTGACAAATTGTTTCTTTTAATTGTTTTAATGTTGTTTTGCCTGCTTTTGTTGTGTGCTAGTTGTGTCTGGATTTATTTATGTTTATTAAGGTTGGAAGGTCATTTTTGTTTAGCTTCAATGGTTGGCAAGATCATTCTCACTTGTGTGCTATGTTGATGCTTAATTACCTAGTTGCAGTATGCATTTACCAAATTGCATCCCTCAACTGTTTCTCCTTTTGTTATATAGCCATGTATGATATGCATGCCATTGTAAGGTTGTCAGTGTGTATGATACTTTGAAATTCCATAGAAGTTGATTAAGTCTAACATAAGGACTGATGCATTGGGTTTTTTGATAGTATTCACTGGATAAAATATTTTATAGAATGGTCTTTCTAAATTCAAAGACACTTTAGGATTTCAATGGGTGATAAGATTCTGGTAATTGCGGTAATGTCTTCTAATTGCAGTCAAAACTTAGAAGTAAGTTACATGCTACTCTTGACTGCCACAAAATTTTCTATATTAGTTTCAATTTTTGCTCCCTGTTCATAGCAAGTTATCGGCTGTTGGTAAAAAGGTTATATTTTGATCTCCTTTAACCTTTGGAGCTTGCATGGATTTATGAAACCTGGAATTGACCTTTTTGTTCTCTCTGAAGTCATAGCAAGTTAACAAATTTGCATGTTTTTAACGCAGCTAATTGTGCCAGAATGTACAAGACTGAGTGTTGAAGGCATTTTGTTCAATTTAAGAGCCTTCAGGTCTGCTGGGTCCCCAGGAATAAAGCAGTTAAGAATAGGTGGATGCTTTGGCGTAACGGAGGAGCAATTCCAAGAGTTGAAGTTCTTACTTGGTGTAGATAAACCAATGCAATTGGGAGCGCAAAAACCACAATTTTTTCGTCAGGGGCAGTTGCATCTCATGTGTGATGATGATAGGGCCATTGACATTGAGGTTTGCCCCAGATGTGAGAAACTGAAACTAGTTTATGATTGCCCATCAGAGAGTTGCAGAAGAACACATCATGCTGCTCAGTTGTGCAGGGCTTGCATTATCTGCATAGCACGCTGTATTCGTTGTGGGTGCTGTCTTAAGGACTGTGATTATGAGGAGACGTTTACTTTAGATTTTCTTTGTTTTGATTGTTGGAAGCAGATCTTTAATCGTGAAGGGAAGCCAGAAGTAGTGGGTGCCTCCTCTTCCAAGCACACCATCTTTCATCAAGAGACGAGGTATCAGTTGTGTTTTTATCGCTAGATGTTCCCTTTGGCAGACTATGGACAAGACTTCTGCACAATGCAAACCTAGCAGTGGCTGTTGGGCATGTGCATCGATGCCCTATCAGTGAAGTTTAATATATTCTGTGAATGTTATGCAGCTTCTGAGGTGGATCTCAGGCTGCTATGTTATTTGGTGTTTCCTGCTTTGCTGGTGCATGCAGTGAACTTTAGCTGAGAGGTCACTTCATTCGATCTTGTGAAGAATTGAGGTTGGGGGGCAGGACCAAGAGATGCTGAAGAGAGATACGCTACTGAAAAAAAAAGAGAAAAATGAAAAAGAAAAAAAAAAGCAGAAAGAAAAAAAAAAGTCAAAACAAAAGGAAAAATAAAAGAATGAGTATATCTTATCATTGATTCTGTTGAAGACGCATCTCTTGAAGTGTGCTATTTTATAGTTGGAGGACATGAAGCAGGTGTTCAGAATGCTTTCTGGCTGAAATGAGTTCAGTGTGACATTGCTTTGATCTTCATTGTTGCCCTCAGAATTCATTCCATCCTTGTAAATGAGGAGAAGCAACACTGGCCTCAACGGTGGCAAGCAGAAGAAAGAACGGCCTGGATGGTGTCTGCTCTGTGGTACCTGGGGCAACAATGGTAGATGTTCTTCTCATCGCACGACAGCAGCAGGAGTAAGTCCGGTTTTATTCGTAGGATCTTCTTCTTACAAAGTGTGAAGGTTAGGTGTTGAGAATGCTTTCTGGCTGAAACGAGCTCTGTGTGTCATTGCTTTGTTCTTCGTTGTCGACCTCAGAAGTCACTCAATCCTTGTAAACGAGGAGACGCAACATTGGCAAGCAGAAAGAACAGCCTGGATGGTGACTGCTCTGCGGTACCAGGGCAACAATGGTAGATGTTCACCTTATCCCATGACAGTGCCAGGAGTAAGTCCGTTATTTTTCATAGGATCTTCTTGCAAAGCTTAAGGGTAGCTGCCATTGAATCGATTGGAGCTCTCACTCTTTGTCCGATCTTCACCCGGATGCCCTTCTTCGGGTGGTTGTCTTTGTTTTGATATCGAAGTAATAGGAATCTGAAATGTAGAACGATAGTTATTTCGCGAGAATAGAATAAAGAAGGGATAAAATAAGTTAGTTATTATATTGTTTGATTTATTATTATAGTTTAATAATATTTTTTAATTTTTAATTGCTATTTTCATTAAAAATTTAATATTAAAAATTTATTATTAAATTATTAATATGATTTTTTATTTCAATTTCTTTTTATTATGTCTTTATTTGTTTATTTTTATTTTTTAATTTTTTAATTTCTATTTTCATTAAAAATTTAAACATTAATAATTTATTATTAAATTATTTATATATTTTTTTATTTTTATGTTTTATTTGTAAATTGTAATTATTTTCAATAAATAGGGATATTTTTATCTAATAAATTTATGACTCTATTCCATAGTCATGGAATAGCCATTAACATGGGAGAGGTGGGGATGGCTAAACCAAGATTTTGGAGAATAGCCATTACTTAGAATGGCTATTCCTGACCTCAATAACCAACTAAATAAAAGAATAAAATTGGGATAGGATTAAGGGGACAGTGGCTTAGCTATTTCTCCGTACCAAACATGTCAATATTTCTTGGACAAAATAATGCTTTGATTGAGTTGATTTGGTTCTCCTACTTGCCCGTTAACTGCTTCTAATCTTCTTTTCCATCCTATGCAATATGAGAACAAACCCAAATTTAGTCCATTAAGATTTTATAAATAATATCCTTTCTGTCTTATTTTTTTTATTTATCTTTTTTCTTGGTATGTTGTAAAATATATTTTTCTCATTTATAAGTATTTAGTATTTTTGTTTTTTATGTTACAAATTTATTTTAAATTATATAAGAATTAAACATTTATATTATAAAAAAATTAAAATTAAAATATAAAATATATTAAAATTAAAGTTTTTTTGTCAATTTTCTTAATAGTTAAAAAGAGACGTTATATTTACGGTCTATGGCATACAGGTGGATGGTAATTAGACTTATATGATCATTTAAACAATAGGTTGATTCAGAAAATAAAAAATTATATTTTCAATTTATTTAAATAATAAAAATAGTAAATTTTTTAATAAAATGTTTTCACGAATTTTTTTTTTTCAGTAAGTTAATTTTTAAGTACTAAATGGAACATTATTTTTAGATTAAAATTTGGCATGTGAAGCTGAAAGCAAAAAAAAAAAAGTTTTTTAAAAGGAAAAAGGGTGAAAATATAAATTATTTAAATTTTTTTTAAGTGAAAAATTAAATTTTAATAAAAATTAAAACACATTCATTTATAATTATTATTATTTTTAAATAATTTCATCAGTTGAGTATTATAATTATCATTTGATTTATTTAATGTTTAATTAACCAAATTAAAATCATAAGTCAAATTTTAGATATAAATAATTAAAAAAAATTCGCCAGTGAAATTACGTTTTGCTAATTTAGACCAGCCCTTGCCTTATTTAAAGACCAAAAACTCAGCTCGTTGCCGCCATAGAATTAGAAGCTCTCTATTTTTCTCACAGCTATTGTTCTTCAGCAAAACCATCAGCCCATGGCCATGGAGAACGGAGAAATCCCAGAAAACGCCAACGAACGTAATTTCTTTATTAATTTGGTGGATTAATTATTTCTCTGCTTTTGTTTTGATACGTAATCGTCTTCATTTCTCTTCAGATTGCCCGGGTCCTCAATCGGAGTCAGCGGGTAAATCCGATGCCTGCCAAGGTTGCCCTAATCAAGAAATTTGTGCCACCACCGCTAAGGGCCCTGACCCTGGTTTGCTTTTTCGTTCTTTACCATCTTTTTATTAATTTTCATGGTGATGGTCTGAGGCTTCTTAGTGAAGACGTTTTTTCTGCTGTATCAGTGTTTTTGATGGCCAGAGTTTTAGGTTTCTTTTGGATTACTTTTGAAATATTAACAACCTTGAAATAGCATTTGAAGCTTTAATGGAGAAAATGACAACTGGAGATATCACTAGTATCCATGTTGCATAATCAGCTGGCGCTAGAATTTGTTAGGGTAAACCCCACCTACAACCCTTGTAGTTTCAGCTTTTCCCGCATGGTCATTAACTGCAACGGTTGTAGGTGAAGCTTATCCAATTTGTTAATATATTGAATGGAGCTCGCATTTTTTTAATGATAAAAAGAATGCTTCCAAACTCTAGTAATATTTATTACCTCAGTTGTGTGTTTAAGGAAGCTTACTCATGACGTCTGGTGGAACATAAAATTTTTTTTCGATAGCATAGTATTAAGTTGAATACCTCAGTGCATCATGGTCTTGTCAATGTTTCTGACTTGCTGACTAGGAAATAAAGCAAAGATTCATGATTATTTAAGTTGCAAGCCATTTTGTTTCGGAGTGTTTGCCCAGGCTTTTAACTCAGCTTATCACCCTTCCACCCTTTTTTGAACTAAGGAAGGGTGTCCTGTGTTTTGACTGTTCTTCTAATTTCATTTAACTGTTTGCCACCACTTTTTTTTTTTTAATTTTCATACTGGTCTATAGGAAAAAGTTCACATATAATTGTATTAATTGTCTATTGTTTAACATTTGTATTGATGCATTCATGATTAGCTTAGTTGTCTTAAGTTTTACCTCATATATTAACGAGCAACTGTTTGCAGTTACAATATGTGCCAGAAATGAGAACTGATGAATGCTTCTGGCCTATGTAATTTGCCTCTCTCCATTTTGGTGAATATGTTGTTTTGTGCTTTTTTTCTATTCCATTTAATAACTGGCATATCGTGGGTTTTGTTCTATGAAAGGATGATTGCCAATCTTCTGATGGTTAAATACATATTCATGATGGTTTATAAAACTTAAAGATTTTTGACTTCTGTCCTAGCATGACCAAATGATCTGTCAAATGAATCAGTAATCTGATATAATGTTTAATCCACTACATTCTGCAGACTTGGTTGCAATTGCAGAAAGAATGGCTACTGTTAAGCATAAGATACTGGTTTTATCAGGTAAGGGAGGAGTTGGCAAGAGCACTTTCTCTGCCCAACTCTCATTTGCGCTAGCAGCTAAGGATTTCCAGGTGGGTCTACTGGACATTGATCTTTGTGGTCCAAGCATTCCAAAGATGCTTGGCTTAGAAGGTCAAGACATTCACCAGAGCAACCTTGGGTGGTCTCCTGTTTATGTTGAGTCCAACCTTGGAGTAATGTCAATTGGGTTCATGCTCCCCAACCCTGACGAAGCAGTCATTTGGAGAGGACCACGTAAAAATGGGCTCATCAAGCAATTCCTAAAAGACGTATATTGGGGAGAGCTCGATTTTCTGGTTGTTGATGCCCCACCTGGGACCTCTGATGAGCACATCTCAATTGTCCAGTTCCTTCAGGCTACTGGAATAGATGGAGCAATCATTGTCACTACCCCACAGCAAGTATCTTTGATTGATGTTCGTAAAGAAGTTAGTTTCTGCAAAAAAGTTGGAGTACCAGTTCTTGGAGTTGTTGAGAACATGAGTGGCTTGTGTCAGCCATTGACAGATTTCAAGTTTTTGAGGATGACAGAGGCTGGTGAACATACTGATGTCACAGGGAAGGTTATCGAGTATATGAGGGAGAAAGCACCTGAAATGCTGGATCTCATTGCTGCCAATGAAGTCTTTGATAGCAGTGGTGGTGGTGCAGCAAAAATGTGTATGGAGATGGGAGTACCGTTCCTCGGAAAGGTGCCATTGGATCCACAGATTTGCAAGGCAGCTGAAGAAGGCAAATCTTGCTTTACTGAACAGAAATGCAGGGTGAGCGCGCCTGCATTGCAGAATATTATTGAGAAACTGATGGCAAATTATTGGCATGAAGAAACGCCAGTGGAGCGGTAGCTTAGAGTGAAGTAATGTTCAACTTCACCTATTGATCTTTGTGGAACAAAATTTTGTTAGGGAGTCATGTAATACTCTTTTTCCTGAAATCATATGTTTGTGGAATTTTTCTGTGGGGTGCAACACTTGAGTTGTAGAAATAAAATAATTGAAAGTGAGCTTGAATTCTGAAGCTTTCTAACTATAAATAATTAGTTAATTCTGTATTAACTTTCATAACTTATACTTAAATTCATAATACCCTTAAATCAAGGGTAGGTGGTGGGGATGGAAGTGTTGATAGAATCACTCTGCGCCTAGAACTGATCTATTGGTCTACATTTATTCCCCCACTGTCCTTAAGTTTGTGGGTTGGATCAATATCAGCTATCTTCATGATTGCTTTTTGTGTCTTGCTTGATTGGTTTTATGCCCTTAGTTGATATGAAAAGCTTCATCATTTCATTTGCAGCAGGTGACTGGTCAACAGTTAACGTAGAGTGGGCATTAGATCATGTTGGTGACCTCTGACCATTTCCACCACTGATGCAGCTACAACCAGTGAAGTCCCTCCTTGGGCTGTGGAGGTAGACCTCTAGAAATGGTATCTTTTGTTTTTTGAATTCAAGTGCAAAGCTTCTAAGTTTTCTCCACCATAATTTTTAGGAATTTGATAAAAATTTCAAATTGTGCAACAAATCCATTCGGAGCAATTTATATCTGGTCAGTTATTTTTGCTTTGCTTCGCTTTCTGTCTGTAATTTGACAGTCAAGATTCTTTTTACTTGTATTCATTGAAGCTCCTTGTTTTATCAAGGGCATGAACATTTGAGGCATATGTCATGATCCTTGTATGGCAGGAGGTGAAGGCCACCCCTGTTATACTGGTAGGGTTATATCAGTCAAATGTGGGTATTACACCAGAAGAGTTGGCATCAACAACTGTGGATGCAATTAAGGAAGTAATCAAGTCTATGCTCGGGTTAAGGACTAAATGAGCATTTTGGTTAGAGGATGAAGACCAGCTTGTCTGGAGTCTTGACAGGGGACATGCGTTTAAGAGATCATACACTCCACCTTGATGAGGGTATTTAGAGTCCTTAAATTCAGCACCTCGTGTAATGAAATTTGAGAATTGTTATCAGATACTATTATACCAGCCTTGTATTGTTGGCAGCGATCACTATTGAATTGTGCCTTTACAACAAGGCTGAGTGCATAGTTGTTGGCACTGAGGATAAAACATTGTACACAGAAGTTAATCTCCATAATATTCTCAATCGCTGTGGCTTGGCAGGGTTAAGAGACAGAAATGGATATAGATGCATGGATACTTTGGATTATCTCCGATCTAGTGCAGACAAAGGTGTAGGACACAAAAAACTTTGAGCCATCGACTCAAGCAAATCCCAGCCCCGGTACAGGCAGGCACACATAAAGATTATCAAATGATGTTTTGAGGTAATATCACTGAAATCGACATCACAAGATTTTTGTTTGTACGGTGGTCTATGTGCTGTATGTCAACTGAGAATTTAGATAGATTCTTTATCATCTCGTTTAATCTTTTATGTTAGAAATATTGGTATATAGTACACTTCCTCATATCAGTTACCTTTCAAATGAGTTGTCTTTGAACGGCTTTATGTTTTGTGAACCTCATTTGCCTAAACATCTTATTCAACATGCATAGTGGGAAGGTGGCCACAACATTTTCTCTCATAGGGATGTTTTCTTTTCCACCCCATTTTCTTCAAAGTTCCATATTGATAAACACTTTGACCTTGATTTTTCCCTACTAAAAAAGTGATCTCTCACCCTTCTTTCTTGTCATTTACCTTTCATGGAAGCCATGGATTTCATATGCAAGGCAGGGGATTTTCAATTACAGTGTTCTGCAGCTGAAAATTTTGGCATGAAAAGATGGAAGTGTAGAAAATCATGTTCCTTAAATTGAAAATTTTGATGGAGGGTCCATGTCCCCCCACCAATCTCACCCATGCAAACTACCCTGGTGGTAGGGTCTTGTTTGTGATGGTTGGGAAACTTTTATGATGTTCCAGCTTGGAACAAGCATATTCTCTATGGTAGTTGGTATATTCACCAATCAGTCAAAACCATCTAAGAAAAAGTTAGCTCATTAAGGACATTTAATTTATTATTATACACAATGGAGTTACTTTGACTATACTAGGATGCAAGAGAAACATTAAGCCTGCTCTTGGGCCTTTTTTTTTCATTAAAATGTAATTTTTTAACAATATAGATGTTGAATTATTTTTAATATGAAAAAATAAAAAAAATATTTTATAATTAGATTAAAAAAAAAAGAAATAGGGACGAGGAAGAGTATTATTACGGGATGATTTTGTTAGAAAATTTGCTTTTTAAAATTTTAATTTTTTTCCCAAAGAAATATTGAGAAATTTCTAGAAGATGAGATATATGAGGAAGGAAAATAAAATTAGCAGATTATGCCAAGAAACAGGATTATTCCTATCCATGCGTTATACGGACGGTCAGTTTCTTTTCCCCTTCGAATCCCAAGGTCACAACCGTAATTTCTCTCTAATTCCGAGCCCAGAAGTTTCCAAAATTTTACCCCCCCGCCCCGCACCATCCATCTCTTTTTACCGTTTCCACACCTTCTTCTCATCATCCTCGTGAAATCCTCAACCAACTGATCACGTGACCAACCTTGAAATCAACGGCCACGACACTCCCATCACATGATGTGGTCCCGATTTTCCCCTAGAAATTTCCGCCGTCTGCCCCTTCCTTAAATTAGGTTTCGACACTCCCTCTCATATATAAAGTCTCTTCCTCTTCATTTCCTCCCCACCATATCAGTATCTTTTGCTTCACTCTGCTATCTTAACACTCACTTTTCGTTGTCTTTGTTTGAGATTTGTTTCTCGTATTTCCGACATGGCGAAGATCAAGATCGGAATCAACGGTACATATTTTTTTAATATTTTTTCGTTGTAGTTTTTTATTTATTTATCAAATCATGGATCTGATTTTTTTTCTTTGTTTGTTTGGTGAAGGATTTGGAAGAATCGGGCGTTTGGTTGCCAGGGTCGCTCTCCAAAGCGAAGATGTTGAGCTCGTTGCTGTAAACGATCCTTTTATCAGCATTGAATACATGGTTCGTATTCGTACATTTGTATATCCTTTGCACTTGCGTCTTTGCATGTTTCTAGATCTTAGAGGATTGAGGACAGGAATTTTTTGTTCCTGATCTGATTCTTACGCTTTCTCAGTTACCTAACAAAGAATGATGTCTTTTAACTGAAAATAATTAAAATGATAACGAGATCTATTGAAAGATCGATCTGCTAGAGATTTATGATGGACTAACTGGTTCTGGTTGGATTTTAACTGAGTGAGTGAATTTTGGGTTTAATTTGAAAAGAAGGAAACTAGGAAAAGAATTTGGACATAAAGAATCTATTTTTTTGTTGTTTAGTTATTTAATAATTTGATAATTGTATTGTACAGATCTACATGTTTAAGTACGACAGTGTTCACGGTCAATGGAAGCACCATGAGCTTAAGGTGAAGGACTCAAAGACCCTTCTCTTTGGTGAAAAGCCTGTCACTGTTTTTGGCATCAGGTATTATATGGTTTGAAAGGGATTTTGTAATTGACTTGAGGAGCATGATGAGTTTTGTTATGTAGAACTATTTTATTGATTTATTTTCTGTCTGATGTTAGAAACCCTGAGGAAATCCCCTGGGGGGAGACTGGAGCTGATTATGTTGTTGAGTCTACTGGTGTTTTCACCGACAAGGACAAAGCTGCTGCTCACTTGAAGGTTTGTGATGATAATTTGAGCATGAGTTTATTTTATGGCCTTAGGAGATGAAAATATAATAGATTAATCATTAACATGTCGAACACTGGTTTTTAGATTTCGAATCTTATGATCTATCGAGATACTTTGTTTTATCTATGTAATTATTAACATTCCTTTTGTTTATCAAGACTGAAAAGGGGAGGTTGTATGTGTGGAACTAAATTTTTTCTTTTTTTTTTCATGTTTAGCATTCTTATCTGGGTTTAGCTTTTTATCTTCGCAGGGTGGTGCAAAGAAGGTGATCATTTCTGCTCCCAGTAAGGATGCCCCCATGTTTGTTGTGGGTGTCAATGAGAAGGAATACAAGCCTGACCTTGATATCGTCTCCAATGCTAGCTGCACTACCAACTGCCTTGCTCCTTTGGCTAAGGTAATAATGATTCCTCTTATTCTTGTTTGAAGCATTCTGCTAATACTTTTTATGTTAAGGTAATAATGAACCTCTAAACATGGTGGCAGGTCATCAATGACAAATTTGGCATTGCTGAGGGTCTTATGACCACTGTCCATTCAATTACTGGTTAGTACTTGGGGTGTTTTATTGCTTCTTGTTGCCACAAAATGTGTACTGTTGACTGACTTGTCTGTTTGAATCAGCTACCCAAAAGACTGTTGATGGTCCCTCAATGAAGGACTGGAGAGGTGGTAGAGCTGCTTCCTTCAACATCATTCCCAGCAGCACTGGAGCTGCCAAGGTGTATATCTATCTTCAGATTTTCTAATGCTTGTACCTGTATTTTCCCTTCAAAGAACTGAGTGATTTTCAGCATGCTCTACTTCTTGTTGGTCTGTTGAGATTGCAGTTTTGTGATTGATTGTGGTGTTTATTTTGTGATGATACAGGCTGTTGGCAAGGTGTTACCTGCGTTGAATGGCAAGCTGACTGGAATGGCTTTCCGTGTTCCCACTGTTGATGTCTCTGTGGTTGACCTCACCGTGAGACTTGAGAAGCCAGCTTCTTATGATGATATTAAGAAGGCTATCAAGTAAGGAGTAGAATGTTGGTTTCTTAAGTTGTCCTTATGATTTTTCAGAATATAGCTAACCTATCTAATGCACTCAAATTCTTTTCTGCCCCTTTTTTTGTGTAGGGAGGCATCTGAAACCAACTTGAAGGGAATTCTTGGTTATGTAGATGAAGATTTGGTGTCAACTGACTTTGTTGGTGACCAAAGGTGTGAAGCTTCATTCTTAATGCGTTTTAACAATGTTGATTTTCTGAATTGTGGCATGGTATTGTATAGATGATTACTAGATAATGCTATTGGAACTTATGTTGTGTTGTGCTTTAACAGGTCATGCATTTTTGATGCCAAGGCTGGAATTTCCTTGAATGAAAAGTTTACTAAGCTTGTTGCATGGTATGACAACGAGTGGGGTTACAGGTAAATATACATATCTTCATCTCTGAAGCTCATTGATAATACCTTGCAAGGATACTTGTGTATGCTTGTCTTTGGCTGCATGTCTAATGGTAATTATTCTGTCTGTTGCAGTTCCCGTGTTATTGACTTGATCCGATACATGGCTTCTTGCAAGTGAGTGATATTGGTGTAGGAAGTCATTGCATGTTGGTGGCCTCCTCTTTCACCAGCCTTAGCAATTTAGGAGAGGAGATGTGATGGGAATAATAGATTTGTACGGGACATGTTTTTGGATGGATGGAGTGTTTCCATATTTATGGAGTATTTGCATTTTGGTCTATAAACAGTTTTCATTCTGTCGGAATGAATTTACTATTTTGGTTGTGTTCATAATTTCTCTACTCTTTTCAAGTTTCATTGCTTCGATGTTGCATGAAATTTTCGTTGATTGAGCTTCTATTCTATGCTAGTAAGTTAAAAGAGCGTTTTGGAACGTTCGGCATTTCTAGAAGACAGAATCGAAATATGTCATGTAAAGGACCCTTGGCCAGAAAGGAGCGCAACTTGAGGTCAGAAACAAACAGTTGGTTGCAGTGCAAATAAATAAAAACAAAACATTGAAGACGAATTGTCGTATGCTGATTCTTATGATATCTATGCAGCACAACACAAAACGACTGACTCTTAATCTCTTCCACTGCCTCCAATCTCTGTGCTGGCCTTGTTACCATTCAACGTTATAGTTTGAATTCTAGAAAATGTCAAAAGAGGGTATTTTGTTTCTTTTAATGGAAGGAGAAGAAGAGAAAAAATTCCTAGAAAATTTACAAGAATATGTTCTGCCTCTCTAGCCAACCACCTTAACATCCAGAACCCATCACTGCCACCACCTAAAACCAAATTCAGAGCACCATCCACAGATAAAAATTCACACAAGTAAATGGTAAATATTTGCAATCCTGAACAAGAAAAGAACAAAGATTCAAAATGGTTCACACACACAGGGAAGGAAAAAAGAAGTGAAAAATGGAAGGAATAATTGTCTTCTTTCCTCCTCTCACACAGAAATGATTAATGGAAAGACTAGGAGCCAAGGATAGAATGTGAAACCTCGTCTTACCACTTCACTTCATTGTACATCAATTCCTCACATTCTTTTCACCTCATAACCAAATCAACTACGTGACTTGATGTGCATCAGAATATTAGAAACTTTCCATCAATAATGCATGTGGCTTGAGCTAATTCACCATCTGTCAAACCTTACTTTTTGAAGAATTTTATTACCAATGTGAAACCAAACAAGGTAAGATTGAAGCGACACCTTAAGGATGTACTTGGGAACAAATAAGAGTTGAACATATATTTAGCATCAAACCCATCTTCCATCTTTGAAATACTAAAATAACTGATTATACTTATGATCTCAATCTAAAGGCCAACATGTTCTCCAACTTTAACATCAAGAACTTTCTTAATTCTAAACATATGGTGTCCCCAAAATATTTTTTTCCAGACATAAGATGGTTTCAAATATCAGAAACTTTCCATCGATAATGCAACTGACTCGACAAAATTCACCATCTGTCAAGCTTCACTCCAAGTCGTAGGATCCTGCAACAACCAAAGCACAACCAAAATCAGAACGTCGTAACAGCAGTAAAGGTCATAGATGACCTTCACCATAAGGCCTGAATTACAAAATTATCAATGCAGAAGTCACAACCCTTAAAAGGTATTACACATACTGCCATCTATGCAATATTGTAATTGCATTCACCACGTGATTAAAACAGAATGATAATACCAAATAAAGGCAAACTCAATTGTAATTTCTAATTATGCGAGGGGAGCACATGAACTGCAGACATTCTTGCTTCTAAGCTACACCCTCATGATACACACATACTTATACATATACATATATAGAGAGAGGGGGGCAATGCTACATGCCCCACCGGTCTACCCTTTCTACCTTTGTCCCGCATGAAATATCTACTGCCATGTCACCATAAAACTGACAACAGTTTTCTTTCCATTGTTTCCCCCAACAAATTGTGTTTTGGTCAATCAGTCATCACAATCTCTCTCCTCATTCAACTTTCCCTCCTCATCAATCAGCTACCCATTCCTGACTTCCTCTTTCTCTCAACTACAAAATCCTGTTTTTTCATTTTAAAAACGAAATAAGGTTTTATTGCTAAGAGAGAAACACTAAGTGAAAGGGACAAGGCAAATCCAGAAGAAAAACTCCAACAAAATATTAAAAGAAAGAAAAACCCAAAGTTCCCAACTGCATAAGTAACAATAAAAGCAACACTGTTTAACAAAGTAAGAACAACACTACAACAACGATTACAAGCCCTCACTCCAACATTCCATGTTAGGTTCGGATTGCAGAAGCAAAAACGAAATAATACATTAAAGAGTTGGGGAAGAAAGTTCAGGAAAAGGATGGGAGACAAACGAAGATAGAAGAAGGCAGGATATGAAGGAAGAAGACCTGTAATGGTAGGGGAACTGCACAATGAGGTGAGGGGAAATATAGTGAGAATGAAATAAATCTAAAGGATTGAGAGAGAGAGAGAGAGAGAGAGAGAGAGAGAGAGAGAATGTCATGGCTGCCATGTCCGCAGGGTTAATAGAGGCAGTACAAATTGTGTTAGGGCAAAATGCTAACAGCGTTTTTCACACACACACACGCGCGCACGCTCAAATCAGCAATACATCACAAACTACAAATTGATACTAATTAGGCAACTTATTCGGCACCACATCTCACATGATTAACATTACATGAACAAAGAATAAGAGAACAAATCATAGGAATAGTGCATTGATAAGATAATATACAACCACATTTACAATTTAGTTGAGACAGTTCGGCAGCAGACAAATGAGACCCGATGAATGCTAGAGCAAGAATAATATAATGTCTCACAGTAGATAAGCAGCTATAGTCTTCACAAAAAGATATCCTAAATTCTTTTACCTGATAACATCTAAATCAGCTTAACCACATAAAACATTGATTAGACATTTCTCCTAAGGAAGCTTCTTAGCATCCACATCATGACATAATAACATTGCTGAAGTGAGCAAGAACTAGGCATCTTCTCAACCAAGATAAGCAATCAGTCTTTCTAATGACAACCTAAATGTCTGTATTTGATTTCAGCCAAATCAGCAATATGTTATAACAAACAAAAATTCATAATTCTCAAGAAAATTGAAGCACAAAAGAAAGCAACTTTCTTTTTTAACATATGGAAAGCAGTAATCATTTCTTCCAGCAAATTCAAGAGGTGGTTGGCACTGAAGATTAAATGAACATGATAAGTAAGGAAGTAACATTCACTGCAAATGCAATGTAACATACATAGGTAACAGAAATTACCGTCATTCAAGCAGTCAGTCACGGCCTAGAAGGATTCATAGCCAGAAGCATGTTCTGTCCTCCAGGCAGGTATGCCACATTAGGTGACCTGGCAAGAGTTGAAGCAATTTCCCTTGATGCCTCAATCCTCCTTAGCTCAATCAGCCCCATACCAGCAGTTGCAGTTGCTTCAGAAATTAGTTTCGCAGCCTCACTTTCACCTTCTGCCCTGATAATAGCAGCCCTCCTCTCTTGGTCAGCTTTCGCCACAATGTACTTGGACCTCTCTGCCTCCTGTTGTGCCACCTGCTTCTGTTCCACTGCCCTTGAGAATTCCGCTCCATATGACAAATGTGTAATTGCCACATCATCTAGCACAATGTTAAAGTCCCTTGCACGCTGCATCAGTCCAGTTCGGACCAATGCTGACACTTGGGGACGGTCAGTGAGAAGTTGGTCAGCATTGAACTGTGCAACCACAGCTTTCAATACCTCATTGCCAATTGAGGGAAGCACCTTCTCATCATACTCAAGACCAAGGCGTTGATAGATTACAGGAAGACGGTCCACCTTTTACAAACACGCCATCATTCAAACAATTAATATTTAAAGAGTAAACTAAATTGCGCATTCAGCATGTATATTTAGACAAGCAAAGCTACAATGAGAGTAGAAGTGATGTTGATCTACACTTCTTGACCACATTGACAGGATCATTAATTTTGATTCCATTCATATCATGATCAACACTTTTCATTTCTTAACAAATAACCAAAAAATAAAAAATAAAACTCAGTACCTTCATTAATCATTTCACCATTCGCTGACACCTATTGCGCCATGCGACATTCCTTAAGAAAAAGACTGCGAATTGGTTGTCTCCTGCCATTTTTCGGAATGTTTTGCCTGATTTGCTTGTTGGGGGGTCTTAGGTATTTATGGGGAAAGAAAGGGTTTTTACTAGGGTTTATGAAACATGGTAAATAGAGAGAAACGAAAATAAATGGATTGGGCTTTTGAGTGGAATTTGGGCCTTCCTAATCCGGGAATTAAAATGGGTTCACTCATTTTTGTCATCCAATTTTGAGAAATTTGTGAATTTTGATATCCAATTTTGGCAGTCTTTTCATGTTTTTATATGATCTTACAGGGATTTCTAACCTTTTCTTTTCACTGTTTTAATGTTCTATTGTTCTTCCATGAGAGTCCAAAAACAAAGAACAAAACCCAGAAATGATGAAAATAAAAGGACCCCATTTAACCAGAGCCCAAAAAAAAAAAGGAAAAGGTTTTTGGTTCTTAATTACCTGAGGTCTAGAAAGAACACGAAGCGTAAGATTAACCATCTGGAGATCCTTAGTTCCAGAAACAGACGAGAAGGTGTGCGGCTTTGTACGGATATCAAAGATGAAAGGCTTCTGGAGCCATGGGATCAAAAAATGGGTCCCTTCTCCGACCGTTTTCTCCATCACTCCCCTTACACGATCGAAGAGCACCGCTCTTTGGCCGCCGTCCACAGTGTACATTGAGGCGTTGAGGACAGTTGCAGCGGCGCCGAGACCGAAGGCTGCGCGTGCCAGGTTCGTTAAGAAAGAGACTGCTGCTTGGCTGCTTCCCATTTTCGGAAACTTTGTTTTTGCCTGATTTGCTTTCGTTGGGTTTTTGGTCTTGGGGAGGACGGAGGAGGGGCAAGACAGGGTTTTAATTAGGGTTTAGGAAACTTGGCAAATAGAGAAAAATAAAAGAAATGGGTTGGGCTTTTGTTCGAAATTTTGGGCCTTCCGAGTCGGAGATGAAAACAGAGTTATTGCTAACTCCACTCAAAAAACCTTCAAATTATTTTGAAAAATTCAAATAAACACTTATTCATCACTGTAATGAATTAAATTTTTATTTTAAATTAAATAAATTTTTATAATTAATTAATAATTAATTTTTATTAATTAAAATATTATTTTTTATTTTGTACTCACATAAAGCAGTCGTGGCTTTTGTGAATAATGAAAAATATCTCATAGTTATATAATCATATCGTATTATCATTCATTACAATATGTTAATATGTTACGCAAGCCTTACATGACATAAAATAATAAGTGACTTTGTAATTCAAAATAAAAATATGATGACTTATTTAACTCAAGATAAAAATACATGAGTTTAATTAAACATAATAAAAAATAAAAATTTATTTAAACTTTTTTGAATTTTCTAAGGACTTTTTTAAATATTATATTAAAACTTCATAATGAAACCAAAGAGATAAGGAAATGGAGTAGAAAAGAAAAAAAAGAGGAAAATAGAGAAAAGAAATAGAAAAAATAGAAAATTTTAAAAAAATAAAAGATTTTGAGTGTTTCAAATATTTGTATTCTATTTTATGAGGATTTTTTTCTCTAATTAACCTTAATTAGCTTATATTATACAAAAAAACATAATGCTCAAATAAGTTTTTAAGTTATTCAAAAAAATTTAAATAAACTCTTATTCTTTTATTACATTCAATTAAGCCTTTGTACTTTTATTTTAAATCAAAAAATATCTTATGATTAATGGTTGACTAATTATCATTTGTCAAAATGCCCATTGTCATCTTATATCTACATAATACTGATATAACAGTAACGTGAAAGGTGAAAAAAATATCATATGATCATATTATCATATTAAATTAACATGTAATGTCATCATCAATTATGATATATCAATATGTCACATCATTATTAATTATGATATATTAACATGACACAGTAGTACTATACGATATAGAATGACAAATGCAATTGTAATTAAATCAATTATTAATCATAAATGGATTATTTACGTAAAATAAAATCAAAAGGCTTATTTGTCTCAAAATAAAAATATAAAGTCTTAATTGAGTGTCATAAAAATACAAGGACTTATTTAAATTTTCTTGAATAGTTAAGGAGTTTTTTTGATATTATGCGTAAAAAAATGAATAAAAGTGATGTCTTATTGAAAATAGGCATAATGCTCAAATCAGCCTTTAAACTATTCAAAAAAATTTAAATTCTTTTATTACATTCAATCAAGCTTTTATATTTTTATTTTTAATCAAATAAGCCTGTATAACTAATAATTAATTATTTAATATTAATCAAAATATTATTTATCATTTTATATTCACATAGTAATAATATGACGTTGATATGCAAAGTGAAAACTAACATATTACTATGTTTTTATGCCCAATTAGTATGTCATGACATTATCATTTATGATATCTTAATATGTTATATCATTATCGATTATGCTATGTTAGCATGTTACGTCAACGTTGTATAAAACTATAAATAATATTTTGACTGAATCAGTTATTAGTTATAAGAGCTTATATGACTCAAAGTAAAAATATAAAAGTTTGATTAAATGTAATATAAATAAATAGTTTATTTAACTTTTTTTTGAATAATTTATGGCTTTTTTCAGATATTATGCTTTGAAAATATTAAAAAAAAAAGAAAGAAATGGAAGGAATTAACATTATAAAAATTAAAAAAGAAAAACACATTACATTTTTCATTTTTTTGGGCTTAAATGGGTTGGGTTGGCCCATAAAAAAAGAGGTATTAAAACCCTCAAATTTAGCTCTAACTTTCTCCACGTAGCTCCTAACATAAACCCTAAAAACAAGAAACAAGACTGGACAAGACAAGAAGCAGGACTGGTCTGTCAGGTATGTCTTGCAAAAATTAAAATCTTGATTTGGGTTGGTGAAAATTATAACCAAATGTGTGACTGGAATATATATATATATATATATATATATATATATATATAGTTTTAGTTTAGAACATATGAATTGTTGGGTTGTGTACATAGGAAAATTGAAATTTAATATTCTTTATAATTTTATGCATTATAGGTTTTTTAAAGAATTTCAGTAATATTAACCATAGAAAAAAAAGAATTATGGTCCATATCAAATGTGTCTTGAAAGATTAGAGGATGCCTTTATAATTTTAGTAATAATACTTTGATATCGTCCGAGCTAGTAACTAAATGAGTAATGACGTTTTTTCTATTAAACAAGAAAAGATAAAGTTTTATAATCTTCCAACTTAATCTCATATACGTTAATTGCACTCGAATAGTTAGTTTATTAGTTGATAGATGATCTCGAACAAGATTCAAATCCTTTCTCTAATTTTTTTTTTTTTAAAAAAAAACCTCATATGTGTTAATTTTAAGCGTATAATTGTTGAAGATTAAATATTGTATAGATTAAATAACATGTACCTTTGCTATTGTTAACTATATTTAAAGATTATGGCTGAAAATTGGGAAGACATGGATGGAGAGCAAGAGCAAGAGCAAAGTCGTCAACTTTTGGAACAAATTTATGCTACATTTGATCCCAAGGACATTGATGGTTTCTTAAACATGTATATTGGTATAATCCCAGTGGTTGCCACCAACATTCACGATCTTGATACATTCCATGTGATGAATCAAGTAGCTCAGCAAAAGAATGCAAGTATTGACATCCTGATGAAGAAACCAGTTGTTGTTTCTGAGTTAGCAGATCATGAAACTCAAGTAAACAAACTATGCAAGCAAATAGACGATATAGCAGTGAGGCTTGCTGGTTATCATTATAACAATGCAAGGCTTCATTTTCTCCAAAGGTGTTGGAAGGAGGCTCTTGAAGAGGTACACAAGGCAGAAAAGGTTTTAATTCAATACGAATCAATTTTTATTTCTGTTTCTTTTTTGTCAGGGTAAGATTTATCTATTCCTTCTTTAGTTGTTCATTTATTTTTTATTTTTATGATTTATATTTCGATAATTTTCTTTTTGATTTTTTTCAGAATTCTTGAACTCAAATTGGGGCATCATGAAGAAGCTAACCAATCTTTTCACAGATGCAAAAAAGCATGTGAAATACTAAATCTTGGATTTGATTTTGAGATATTTTTTAATTTGTATGACTCCATGTTGATCTCGAGTTTAGAAGATTCAAAGGGGTAACAAAAGCCAATGTCCAAAGGAAAGAAGACTTAAAAAGAAATTGAAGGGGAAAAAAGACTATTTTATTATGTTACACCCGAGTATTTGACTTATTGATTAATATATAATCACCTACTTTAAAGAGTAAGTTTGAATCTTCTTCTCCAAATCCCAAAAAAGGGACTATTTTATCATGTGGCGTTGGTTTGTCAAGTAAATTTACTTGTTCATCTATGTTGGTTATTGATAAGTTGAAAAGTTACTCGTTGTCAAGTAATTTAGATAAGGTTTAGAGGTATTATGATTTTGCTAATATATTATTGATTTTTTTGTGTACATTATTTTAAGTCAAATAAAGATAGATAGGTCATGTTATAAACTTATTATGTTAAGTTAGTATATTACGTCATCATCAATTATTATATATCACTTAAATAAAAGTATAAAACCTTGATCAAAAGCAATAAAAATATAAATATTTATTTGATTGATTAAGTTCTTGATGATATCTATGTTGAATGATTCGAATAGATATGCCCATACAAATTGGCCTTTTAATTATTTTTTTGTATAAAAGTAGCTAAGCTTCACCTTTTCAAATATTTGGATAGGTAGATATACAGCACAAAATTTTTTATCATATGCCAAATTTACATGAAGAAAAATAATTTTTTATCATACAGGAAATTGTGTGAAAAATACCCCTCCAATTCAAAAATAGTCCTCATAATAATTTTAATTGTTTTTATTTAATTTTTGACAAGACTTGACAACACCTTTGAACAATTTTAAATAAATTAAATACTTTCTGTTTTTTTTATTTCACCATTAAGAAATTTTTTTTAAAAATTATTGTTTATCTGACCATCTAGCTCTCTCTCTTAATTTTCATTTTTATCTTTTGCTAAATACTGTTTATCTCGTTATCTAATTCTCTCTCATCATCTCAAAGAGCAGAGATGACATCAAAAAATGTATTTTGGATTGTTAGGTTTATTAGTTTATATTCGTAGAATAGAATCCTAAAGTTAAAGAGTTAAAATTAATTAAACATATTTATAAATTAGAGATCTATATAATTTTGGCAATTTTTGGCTACGAGCAGACAACTTAGTTTTGAGATATTTTTAAAGTTGTGTGACTCCATGTTGATCTCGAGTTTGAAAGATTCAAAAGGGAAACAAAAGCTAAAGTCCAAAGGAAAACAAAAGGAATTGAACGGGAAAAAGACTTAAAAAGAAATTGAAAGGTTTGTTTGGTGAGTAGATTTACTTGTTTATTTATTTCTTTAATATATTATTATTTTTTATATTTTTTTATTTTGAATTAAATAAAGATAGATAGTCATGTTATGAAATTATTATTTCATATTAGCCAGTTATGTTATTATCAATTATTATATGTTAGCATATTACATTACAATCAATTATGACATGAATACCACTTGGCATAAAATGACAAATAATATTTTAATTAAATCTAACTTATTTAACTCAAAATAAAAACATGAGAGCTTGATTGAATGTAATAAAAATATAAAAACTTATTTGATTGATTAAGTTCTTGATGATACCCATGTTGAATGATTCAAATTAAAAACAAATATTGCCAAATCTACATGAAGAAAAATCATTTTTTGTCATATGCCTCCAGTTTCTAAAAGTCGGGCTTAATTAGACAATATTATATCAAAATCCTAGCTCATACTGTTAAACAACATGAATCAGTCAAGTCAGGTTTGCCTTTATTTAGTCTGAGCTAGAAAGCAAATCAACTTGGACTCGATACACTACTTTTGACATTTTTTTAAAAAAAAATAATTTTTGAATTTTTTAAAATTATTTGAGAAACTTTAAATAAATTTTTATTTTTTATTGTATTTAATTAAGTTTTTGTATTTTATTTTGAACTAAATAAGACTTTTTGACTAATTTTTTATTAAATATTATTAGTCAAAATGTTATTTATTATTTTTTATGATACATGGTATTGACATGATATGTTGACATATCATAATGAATGATTATATGACATTTTTATCTTTTCCATTAACATTACATCAACATCATATGAATATAAAATAAAAATAGTATTTCGACTAGTGACAATTAGTCATAAAAGTTTATTTGATTCAAAAAAATATATATGAACTTAATTGAACGTAATAGAAAATTAAAAATTTATTTAAATTTTCTTAAATAATTCATGAAGTTTTAAAAATATATATTTTTTCTTTTTATGTGAAAAACAGCTATATTAATGGTTATAATTTTATACAATTTGTCAATATTTTGTTCATTCGGATTGGAACAAAATAATTTATTTATTTGTGGCAAAAAGAAAAGATGAGATACTATTTCATCTTTAATCCAATCAAAACTCATGAATATAACATATTCATAATTATTATTTTACCTATAGGTGACATTTGGTACTTTACAATGCAATGTGATTACAGGTAATGTGATTGTAAGTAATGTGATTCCAAGCAATGTGATTGCAGGAAAAATAACATTATCGTGTTTGGTATATAAGCAAAACAATGATTAAAATACAGAGAAGATAACATTGCAATGTTTGGTTTACAAATACTTTTTACTGAAAATGTAATATTAATTTTCAAAATTACGCCTAGTTATTAAAATATAAGTTTAATATATTTATATTTTTTATTATTAATTTTTATATAATATCATTTTTTAAATATATTTTTAATGTCATATATTTTATTTTCATTTATTGTTATAATCTTATATATTTTATTTTCATTTCTTTAATAAAATTTTTTATACTATATATTTAATTTTAATTTATTTTACCTATATTATATAAATTTTAATTTTTTATATTTTATTTTATTTTAATTTTTTATTCTTAAATTATATATTTTATTTTAATATTTTTATTTTAATTATAACATTATAAAATATTTTTAATAAGGTAATAAAGTTGAAGGGTAAAAATATCTTTAAGAACATTATATAGTGCGATGTAATGTGACTGCATTGGTTTTGGAATGCATAGCAATCTTACATTGCAGTGTTCTGTTACAAAACAAACGCTGCAATGTAATTTAATTGGACATATTGCAGGGAATGTACTCTCACTTCTTTCATACCAAACGCTACCATAGTATTTAAATTGCTTAACAATATCATTTAGAAGATAAATTGTGACTCGAGAAATAAAAGATTCGAGCTGGATTTTTAAAACGGATACATAATTGATTTTATATTTATAATATATGGTGGAAGATCAAATTTTTAAAATTAAGAAATTATAGAAAAGAAATAATAAGTAAAGAGGAGAAAAAGCAATTTATTCTCTCTTTTCTTAAGCACCAGGAAATTCTAAACTCAGATTGATTGCAGTATGGCTAATTCTCACCCAAGTTTTTAATAAGCACAACTTATTATACCAAACTCAAAGGGTTTCATAAATAGGTTCACCATTCATGTGATGGATGACTCAAAATTTTACAAGTGTCTACCAAAAAGTTTCTTACTCCTTCAACTGTACATGTATGAGCCATGATTAGTCATTTTAAAAGCTAAAAACTCCCATGCTGAGCAGCAAATATAATTGAAATCAATCAAAATTCTTGCAATAAAAAAAAAAAGATCATGGCATTTGGGAATAGGTAGGAACACAGTCAAGATTCAAAGAACTTGAGTTTCTTGCAACCAAATAGGTAGGACCTTGTTGGCCTTGCTTGCTACCAGTACCAAGATGTTGCAAGAGGAGAGTTCCCTGGAAAATATTATTTCTATAACTTCTTTCATGCATTGCTTTAAACATTTACTCCTAGATATCACTTCCAAGTCCAAAATCTCATACCAATCAATCAACTTTACTTAGTAACATTAGGGGAGTAAAATGATAAGTAAAATATGAGAGAGCAGAGATATCAGTATTACCCCAGATGAGTTTACAAGGACACAGAAACCAGAGAAACAAAATCAAAGTCTGGTGAGGTTATAGGATGCTAGAGCTATCTGAAATTTGCTTAAAACATCCTCAACCTATCCTCTGTCTCTATCCTGTAAACAGTTCTCGATTAACTCTATTGTATATCCAATAAATCCACTTTAAAAGAGTTTTTCCTCTGACAAGATGTCATTTACTTTCTAAGAGGTCCATACAAAACCTCAACTCCAGCATCAAAATCAAAGATAAATCCTGGAAATTGTACCAAATAATAGTAAAAACTAACAAGAACTATTTCGTTCTTACTCTTAGCTTGCTCGCTGAGATGGAGCAAAGTTTTTGCAACTCATTCTTTAGATCTCTGTGGCCATTGATCTTTGATACTAGGCAATGTAAGTTCTTTTTGTGTGGCCACCAAGATTCACCAAGTGATGAAAGTGCTAATAATAAGTTGCAAACTAATGAATGCTTATGGTAGATATATAGCAAAGCATTTAAACATATACGTAATTTCTTCACATTGCAGGCAAAATTTTAACACAGAATTACTTTGAATCCAAACTTAAAAGGTTAGAACTGATTTCCGAAACTCATTATATGTAGTTTTTTGATGCTAAGATAACTTCCAGGTACAAATTTTGAGAGATCAATCAAAAACAGATTGGAACAGAAGAAGAAATCAAAATCAAAGATGCACTGTTAAAAATAATTTAGATAGTGCATACAAAGTTGAAGCTGCTTATAAAAAGAAATACACTATTATCACTCTTTTCATGAACATGATTATATGTTAAGCTTCAAAATAAAAGAAAAAAAGGTGCGGTTAGAGAGAGAAACTCCAATAGACTATTTGATCAGCTCAGATCTTGATTAAATGAAACAGGTACCATGAAACTAATCTGATTATTTGACATAACGCCCCAATTTCAGAAACTATAAGAACGAAAATTGCATCTTCATATGATTTCAACAGCTCAATCCATACAAGGAGTTCTTTAACTAAATAAAATTCCTCAAAAACAAGAACATTTGAGTTTCGGAAATGCATACAAAAAAACTAGGTGCCAAGTGGAGCACAAGCACTACTTTCTGTGCTTGCTAGAAGCAGTCTTATACCCACACTTACAAGGCTTGCCCCAAGGTGTTCGCGAAGTCTTCCCATAACTCCCGCTACTTTTACTCCGACCCTCACCACCACCATGAGGATGATCAATTGGATTCATCGCCACTCCCCTCACCGTTGGCCTCCTACCCAACCAACGACTCTGTCCAGCCTTCCTAAGCTTCTTAGCTCCATGGCTGGGATTTGACACCGTACCAACTGTTGCCCTACAACGAGAATCAATCAACTTTTCAACACCCGATGGCATTCTAACCAGACAGTACCTCGATTTCGGCTCTTTGAGGATCTTGGCTGAGGTTCCAGCCGCCCGGACTAGCTTTCCACCTTGACCCGGGTTCACCTCAATGTTGTGGATAATCGTTCCAATTCGCATAGCAGCAAGGGGCATACAACTTCCAATTTGTGAATTAATGTCAAGATGAAGTAACTCTCTCTTCATATTCTCAACCATTGATTGATTATTAACGTCAGCAGCAACTTCAAAAACAGAAACAAAAATTTGATATTTACAGATTCTTTTTGTTTTCTTCCCTTGATACAACAATTGCGTTAAACCCTAAACTCTAAATTATAAACCCTAAAATTCAAGAAGGAATTTTCATTCATTCTAATTCCAATTTCTCTCATTTTGCTTCTAAAGTTTTCAACTTCCAAGAGAAATAATTTCTCAGAATCCAAACAGGAAAAGACATCTAACGCCACTTTAAATATAATTATTTTTAAAAAAATGGTGAAAAAAACAGAGAGAGAGAGAAGTACCAGAGGAGAAATTGCTACAAGGAAGGCGAGACGGTGGATGCAGAAGCTTGTTGAGGAGATTCCCTGAAGCCATGCGACATCTCCATAAAGCCATTGTTTGTCCACAGAAAAGAGAGAAAGAGATGAATGAATACTTTATCCTTTCCTTCCCAAGAAGCTGAGTTGAGACCACCTCCGCCTCCGATCGCCAAAGTCCGAACCCACCCAGCTCATACTATCAACTAGTAAGACGCGAGTAGTAGGTTCTAGTCGGGTCGGGTCACCCTTTTATTTGGTCTGGAGGTGTCCACCAGCTGTTGAAAGCCCAATTCACATTGTAGGGTCCGAGTCCAGTAACAAAATAATTAAAGTCAATAAAGAAAGAATATTATATAAATAGGAAATAAAAGTTTCACTCATGAAAAACTCTCATTTAATTAATTTATAATTTATGATTTAGTCAATTAACAAACTAACCAATATAACAATATGATAAATAAATTAATTAAATATTATTTATATATAATATTTTTTAATATCGAAAAAATATTTGACTGTCTTGCATAATTGACTAATGTTAATAATTTTTTATGATGGCATAGTAGAACATTATTGAAAATGTTTACGATGGAAATTTTTTTAAATATTTAAAAAATAAAAAATATTTTTAATAATTAATTTAAATAATAAAAAATATTTAATTTTTTAATAAAATATTTTATACAAACAAATTTTTCTTTCAACGAAGTCATTTTCTTATTACCAAACGAAACCTTACATTTTAATATAAAATTGTAGTTTGCCATCTACAAGGAAAGGGAAGGCATGGGTTGGGTATATATCGAATTCCCATATAAAGTAAAGGGTCTAGCCCCCTTTTTTTAAATTGTTTTACTAATTTTTTGCTAACATAATTTATATATATATATATATATGTTATGAGTGGAAACTTAAGCTCAATTATATGCGGCATTAAGCTCCTAAAATAGAATTTAAGTAAGTTCACAAGTCACGAGTTTACGTTCTTAATCCAAAACACATGTTTGATAGGTGACGGAAAAATTCATATTTATATATTCAAAATTTATTTTATTTTTTATTCATATTAGATTTATAATATTATACTCCACTCAATTGTGCAACTAGTGTTCTTTATCGATAAAGGCGCTTTGATACTACATTGCACATTGCACTTGCTTTTTACCTGAAAAAGAAATAAACTTTCAGGTGTATTTCTATTTTTGTATCTTTTATGGGGACCACATCAATAAAAATCTAGATCTATTTTGATATCAATTGTTACTATTAAAAACTTAAATCTAACTGCAGCAAACTCTTAAAATTGAGCGTAAATAAAGCTTATAAATCATAGACTCACGTTTCAATTCAAAAGACATGCCTAATAAGTAGTGAAAAATTCATATTTATATATCAAATATTCATCTTATCTTTTTCTGATATGATATCTGTGACATGTATATATATATATATGAGTCCAAAAACAAAGTGAAAATCAGTAGTAATACACTAATGCTCATCCACAAATGATTTTTTTTTTTTAAAAGATGAATATAGCAACTGAAATAAAATGTTGGAGCATAATTGGGCTAAATAATTGGTCCATTCGATTTATTCATTAATTCAATTAAACAAAATTTTGATCATAAGTTCGATTAAATCGATTAAGAGAAATTTTTTATTTTATTAATCGATTTAACCAAATATAAATCCCTAAATTGAAATAATAAAATTTTCATTTTCTATTTGTTTCAAAATTTAATTTTTTAATCAAATAAAAGAATAAACAAATTTTATATTCTTAACGGTCACAAAAGTAGTTAACCCGCCCAAACTTCCATAGCAGTCCACTATATTATTGAGTTGGGCCCATTAAGACTGGGCCATCTTGGTGTTTGGGCTTACCATGGGTGAGCCCAAACAAGCCCAAAGATTTACTAGTCCGGTCCAATAAAAAAACTTCGTCTTCTGCTTCGTCTTCTTCTTCTTCCGCTTGAAGCTCTCGTTTCAGCTCAGGAACCCTAAATCCCTAAATTGCAGTCCGAAAAAGGAAGGCACAAGAATTGAACTTTACGAATTCTCAAGAAAGGTAACTTCTACTTCTTTAATATTGCACTGTTTAGTTACTGAGAAATAGCTGAAACACAGTTTAAAGGAAAAACTGGAATTTTCTTTACCATCTCTTCCATTGATTTCTTAGAGATCAAACAGAAAAAGTTCGTTTCTTTCTTAAGCTACCCAAGTGATCTCCCTTCGTTTTGCTACAAACCAGAAAGAAAATACGATACCCAGTTCACTCTGTTTTTTTTATTGAATTTTTAATTCCTTTTTCCCCTGTTTTTGTTTCATTGGGATTGGTTGGATATTCTGTGGAATAAATGATTTGATTTATGTTTTATAAAGTTTGTGTAATTTAGTTTGGATGTTCAATGCTATATATTTGATTTGAGGCTTGCTAATTGCTTTAGGAAGCTGAAAATCATTTTTCCATGGTGTTTGGACTTGAATGATGAAGATACATGAGAAATGCTGGTCCTAGTGAAATTTGCATAAGTCAAAGGCCAATACTATGAATTTGCTTGATTGAACTTTTGATTCCCCGTGTATTCTTTCTTTTAAATATTAGTTTGTTGATTAGAGGTGAGATATTGGATGAGGATATGTTACTTCCTAAGATAGTGGTTATGATATTATCTTGAGCATTGAATTTGGCTAGTTTCATGCTATGAATGAGCTGCAATTGGATTTAGAAGGATTAGAAATAGATGGGAGATTTTGCAGGTTTTCTCTTCTTTTGGGAGGTGAAGTAGAATGGTAATATCTCTTGAATATTTATGATTTCAATGAAATTGCAATTTCATGGTTATTATCTTTTTGAGTATCTAGGATATGAAACTGTGTCCAGGCACTCTTAGGCTTTATCTACTGAGGAAAACGCAATTTAGAGAACTTTCATCGTCTTTCTTTTTCTCTTGTCATCTAGTAGCTTTTATTTCATGAATAGTATTTGCCATCTGAATTTTAGGATACAAACCTTGTTGAGAAACTTCTTTCCTCAAAATGTTGAAGTGACAACTGTGATGTCCTCTGTGGATCTTATCCATGTTTCAAAACCTGGTATATTTTTCAGACACAAGCCTACATCCAACATGGGCACAGCCTTTACAAGTTTTTTCCTTATTTTTGGGGGGTCAAAGAGTTATACATATATCATCTGAGGAGTCTGCTATGTGTCTGACTTGGGTATGGGTAAAGTGAAGAGTTGGAGTAAAAATTGGATCCTATGAAGTATTTTAACCATTGTGGTTGTGGTTAGATTCCCCCTAGAACCCCTTTTAGAGGATATAAATTTTTTTGACCACAATCATAACATGAGAAGAAAGGAGAGGAAATAGTTTCTTGTCAAATCTGTTAATTAGTGTATATGAATTATGATCAAGTTATTTCTCTATCAATTTTTGGCTTGTCGGCGGAGGAAAAGGAATAAGCGAGCTTTTTCAGGGGCAAAATTGATCATAAAAAGCTCTTACATACTTGGTTTAACAAGTCTTAGTTTTGGTTCATAGAAGCACATTTAATTATTGATTCTATAGATCTATAGTTTTGCGAATATTAGCCTTGTTCTTGGGTTTGCATCTTTTGCTGCCTGTTAATGATTGTGCTTTATTTATAAATATAGAAAGTACATAAATAAATAAGTGTTTGTTCATTTTTTTCTTTAGATGTTTCTGTTATTGATGACATAATTTATAGGGATAAAGCCATGGCATTAAATCACATCAGATCAGTGAGAAGTTTCATTATTGCCAAGGAGGCAGTTGGTGTGGGACATCGAAGGTTTGCTGCTGGGGCCAGCAAAGCCAAGAAGGGCTCTAAAGGTGCAGCCAGTGATGCTCCAAAAGCATCAATACTCAGCAAAGAAGTCAAGTCCACAACAGTGGTTGGTGCAAATATACTGAAGGATGGAGCAGATCCAAAGATCATGCCTGATTCTGAATACCCTGATTGGCTGTGGCATCTGCTTGACAAACGTCCTGCACTGAGTGAGCTAAGGAGGAAAAACATCGAAACACTCCCCTATGAAGATCTTAAACGCTTTGTCAAGTTGGACAACCGAGCAAGGATAAAAGAAAACAATGCAGTGAAGGCCAAAAACTGATGGTCGTATAAAAGTGGTTTGTGTGAGGCATTATTTCTTTGTTAAGAACGATGCATCCTTTCTTCTGGGATTCCCTCTGCTAATTGAATTGCTTGTGTGTAATGATGGAAGAGAAATAGAAGGCAAAGCACAAATAATTATGCATTTCTCTGTATGTCCTACTATCGCTTTATAGTTTTTCTTTTTCCCTTCACTTTAGAACTTAAGATTGCTGTTTAGGACAACTAATCTACCATTTTCAGTCATTGAAGGATTGTTGCATAGCTTCTCAGGATCTACCATGGTAATTCCTTTATTTGACATTACAATGGCTTATAAGCAAAATCAATATAAATTCAAACTATAGATTAATCAAATAAAATCTTGTGTGTGTGTTATACATTCCCTTCTGCTCAAAGGATAGATGGCAGACACCGGAATGAATGAATTGGTTGTTGGGTTCCTCTCTGTCTCCTCTCCTAAATTGATATTTATCATGTACGGCTATGCTTTCCACTTGCAGATGAAATGTTCATTGCATCATTCAGTTGGGCCCGAATTCTTGATCTTGCCATTGTTAAGTTTGAGTGGAAGCCACCTCCTCCTGTCCCCCTTACCCAACATGAAAATGGTGGGGTTCAGACTTGAGATCGTCTATCCTCCTTTAGGAGATTCACTATGCTTTTTCTCCCTTTTCCTTCCCTTAAGTCATGGACTATGGTGGTCCATCTGTTTCCCTTGAACAGGCCTGGAGTTCCCATTTGTGTAATACTGCCCTACTGATTGCATGCACTTGAAAATGATTGTGTGTATTTCGTACTTGCATCTTTCTGGATAAATTTCATCCGCATTTTTCGTTATTTTAACTTTTTTCACATGACATTATGATTTTTTGCTCCATTAACACATTATGGATATTTTATTTCTTTCTTAAAAAGGGTTAAACTATTAATTGTACTCAATAAAATTATAAAAATATCCTTAATATGAATAAATAAATTAATTTTGAATAAAAGATATTTTGATAATTTTATTGATCAAATTATCAGTTGAATCTTATATGAACAGAATTTATCTCCATAGTACTAATTAAGGAACAGAATATCCAAAGAACACTAAATAAAAAAAAACTTAGAAAGACAGGTGTAGTTGAAGCTTGTCCTTTTTTTTTTTTTTCCAATTTATGCCATGTTGATAACTCTCTAACCTACCCTTCTTTCCTCCTTCATCCCCCTCATAAGAGTAACTCTTTTTATCCAAAAATGAGTTGTTGCTATGAGAATTCAACCTTAAATTCTTCAACATGTCCAAGTACTTTGACAGGAGTCGATAAAAAAAGAAAACTTATGATCACATTCTCTTAGTTTTTCCTCGATGTTTGAGAGCAGGGTGGTCCAAGTATCGTGGTCCTATACGGTGAATTTTGTCTAGCCATGGGTCGAGTCTATCATAGATTGGCATACCTTACAATCCAACCCGTTAGTGCACCATTTCGGGATTGAGACCGACTGGCATGTTAGAAAGGAAATTTGTTCTGCCCCATGTGACGATGAGCTTCATAACTCCCATTAAAGGTAAGAAAGAGACCTGTAAGAACACAAATTAAGAAAAGAAAAGAGATGTAGGAAGCAAGAAACTGATACAAGCAGGGGGACTGAAATTTGACATCACATGCATTATTGTTGATAAAGCAGGAACCCACCCTCCATTTTCAGCCTTTTCATTGAGTTTGTAGTCATAAGAAAAAGGTGTTAAAGCTGCTTCTCACATGGCCTTCTTCGCTTTTAGAGCTGTGTAATCCAAGTTTGTGAGTAGTTGGATTAAGGGTTACCTAACAGTCCAGATAGCACAGCTCACCATATCTTAACTCTTATCCTTGCACCCATTGCCCAATCAACCTTTTTGTTCATTGGTTTTTTACAACCTGCATGCTCTAGAAACCTAGCACATGCCATGTATCTGACATGAGTACAAGAAGCAATGAACAATACAAACATGTTTGTGATTTCATCATGACTTTGATATCTTGTATGGCTATGATGTTCCAAGTACTCAGGATTTATATCTATAAAGGGTTTTCTTTTCTTGGTCAAATTAACTTGGTGAGATGGACCCTGTTTATTAAGAGTTCCAAGTTTTTGTGGCATGATCTTGTACCAGGACTTGGGGCGGTGTTAACTCTTTTAAGGCTATGTCATGTCTACATTTAACACAAAGGTCTGTGGACTGACAACCAAGGCCGGTGGATGTTGATGAAATCAAAGATTTAGGGTCAGAGTGTGACATTGTTGAAGCCTTCCACTCTTCTGATGTAACATTTTTTCAGACCTGACAAAGTTTTCTATGAAGCTGAAGGCTTCAACACCTGAAATTATTCTGTTAACAGATCTGGGAAAATACAATCAAATCCTCTTTCATATAAAAAAAAGTATAAAAAGTTACTAATAAGGATCGAATCATCTTGGCAATAGCTATATGAGCATGACATTGTTCAAGACATTGGATTAGAAAAATTTGGAATTATGTTCCTGAAGTTATTCAAGTCAGCTGTCAATATCACAGAAGAAGAAAGCACTAATATATTGGTTGGGCTGCTTGACTCGAATAAATGGAGTTTTAACAATCATTTTAGCCACGTGTGTTTTGGAAGATTAACTAAATTAACTAAATTAATGGTACCATTAGCCAGTAGAATTAAGCATAATTACCAACATCCTCCATGATTAACTCAACATCTCTATCCACAGTAAAAATTCGTTCAAGTTGCTGCTTTTATCATCACCTCAAGCAAAAAGCAGTAAAACCTCACACGGTTTCTTTTTCCAACCCCCATATGCCACCATCATTAACATCACAGTTAAAAGGAATCTTACCTAATTATAATACTTTTTTATTTTGATTTTCACTATTTGGTCTCCACTTTGAACAACCCAAGAATCTGTTGGAAACCAATATGATTTGTCTTTCCATGTACTATTATCTTCTTGGAACAATTTCATTCTGGCCTTATAAACTATTTTATTCCGATTAACTATTTTCTTGAAGAGCATGCCATCTTTTCTGTCTTCACCTTTTGTGAGAGTGATGATTGCTATTTGCTTTCTCATATCATCTAGTTGATATTATTTATTATTAACTCTCACATCTTGGCATCAAACTGGAAAGAAAGCATTTATTCTCTTCACATGCTTTGTTCTACTTCATTCTCTTTTCAGGGTGTTCTAATGGTTTTCGATGCAGGTAGTTCAACTGCTTGAATCAATAAGAGTTAATTCTTCTCTGGTCTTTCTGGGTAGGCTTTAATACTTCTGTTTATTTCTTCCACGTGGTTATGCCTTCTTTTCATTAAGCTTTACTTTCATAATTGTTGTTAGTTGAACCTTTCTTACTTGGAGCTCTATTTCTTCTAGCTTTAGTCAAGCTCTTGCTTTATTGCATTGAAATCAGTAGGGTCTTGCTCATGTTTCTTTCTGAGAAGCTATTGGAAAAGTACTTTTTCTTGTTTTACTCTTCATAGCTGCCTCCTGAGATGCAGGATATTTAGACTACAATTTTCTTCTTGCTATGATCTTCAAAAATTAAGTAATCCTTGGCTAGTTATTCTGCTAATTTCTCTGGAGTTCAGATGCATAGAGCCAGTACATAGCTAATACAGAGCTGTTGTAAATCCTCTTGCTGTGATGTTTTGATTTGTATCCGAAGAAGGTCAAGTATTGACTTCCTCTAGAATTTGTTCCTCTTTGTAGTTAAACTTCATTAGTCTCTCTAGTTATTCATCTTCACGATGCCTCCTACATATTTCCCTCTTCGCTGGGAAAGCACTGGAGACCAATGGTGGTATGCGTCTCCCATAGATTGGGCAGCAGCGAATGGCCACTATGACTTGGTCCGGGAGCTTCTTCGGATAGATGGCAATCACCTCATCAAGCTTACCTCTTTGAGGAGGATCCGTCGCCTTGAGACCGTCTGGGATGATGAAGAACAGTTTGATGATGTTGCTAAGTGTCGTTCTCAAGTTGCTAGGAAGCTTTTTCTCGAATGCGGATCAAAGAAAGCAAAGAATTCCCTTATCAGAGCTGGATACGGTGGATGGCTTATATACACGGCTGCCTCTGCTGGAGACTTGGGTTTCGTTCAAGAACTTCTTGAAAGAAACCCTCTACTTGTTTTTGGAGAAGGGGAGTATGGTGTTACTGATATTCTTTATGCTGCTGCCAGGGGCAAAAACGCTGAGGTTTTCAGGCTTTTATATGACTTTGCAGTCTCACCAAGGTTTTTGACAGCGAAAGGTGAAGGCTTTGAGGAACACATTGGGGAAATTCCTTCTGTTTATAAGTGGGAGATAACAAACAGAGCTGTTCATGCTGCTGCTAGAGGAGGAAATTTGAAGATTTTGAAGGAGCTTCTCAGTGACTACACAGACGTTTTGACTTATAGAGATAAGCGTGGTTCAACTGTATTACATGCTGCTGCTGGCAGAGGCCAGGTTGAGGTTAGGCTCCAACTATTTTATGCTTTGTGCTTAAGTCTTGACTTCTTTTATCTATCTCTTGTGCTCATGTTCTTGTTGATTTGTTCGAAAAATTGCTTTAAAGTCTCCATTGATGTACTCTTAATCATACACTGGCTCAGCTTTGAAATTGAAGAAACTGGCTTTTATAGTATATTCTATCTGGAATATCTATGCCTGTTGGTTAAGGTTGTATGAGTCTCAAAATCCACTGTTTTAGCATGACATCTATAGTTGAGGAAGTTATTTATATATAGAGTTGATGGTCATGGAATTAGAGTAGCAAGATCAATTAAAACAATAAGGAACCTAATCTTTCAGGGGAACAGATGCTTTCACCTTACTAATGCAAGCATTATTTCATTTGTGTAGGTGGTTAAAAATCTTGTCTCCTCTTTTGATATCATCGACTCCGTAGATGATCAAGGCAACACAGCGTTGCATGTTGCTGCTTACAGGGGCCAAGCAGCAGTTGTTGAGGCTTTGATTCTTGCATCTCCCTCGTTGATCTCTGTAAGAAACAAGGCTGGAGAAACATTTCTCCATTTGGCAGTGTCCGGTTTCCAAACTCCTGCTTTTAGAAGAGTGGACCGACAGATTGATCTTATGAAGCAAATCGTAGATGCAAAAAGCTTCAACATGGAAGACATCATTAATGCCAAAAATAATGATGGAAGGACTGCTCTTCACATGGCCATCATTGGGAATGTTCATACTGACTTGGTTGAACTCCTGATGTCTGCACAATCAATTAATGTGAACATCCGTGATGCAAACGGAATGAC